ATGGGTGTGCTAGGGGAGAGAGAGATGGAGTATATGTGAGTGGGTTTGGGTGTGGGTACAGTCACTGTTTTTGTGGGTGTTTGGACTGTTATGTATTTTGCGTTGACACTAAAAGCTATTTGTAAATTTCGTGGCTGCAATTATGTTTGCTGTGCTGTGTGGCCATCACAGTTTCCTCGTTTTCGCCACCACTTCTCCACCACTTGGCGCACTTAACACATTCCCAACGCTGTGCCTTGTCCTCCTCCTCCTACTACTACCCCTGTTGGCCTTTTTGTTTTTTTTTCTGGCTGGCCATGTGGCTTTGCTGGTTATTATTAGTTTGCTGCGGTTTGCTGCACTGTCCGTGCACACTGTGTCCATGTTCTATCCTTTCTTAGTGCGGACCCCATCATGCATATATGCAAATATGCTCTGTACATATAAATGTTTGCACTATCGGCTATAACAAATCTCTTTCTCGCTGCTCTTGCTCTCTGCCTTACAAATGCCTTTAAAGTTTTTGGCATGCTTTTCTGCAATGCCAAATTAGAGTTCTAGTAGCCTCGATTTGGCTTCCATTTTTGGCACATAATTCTGATATTTATGCTACTATTTTCCCCTTGCTCCCGCTAGAGAAAAATGCTTAAAATACACACTTTATTTTGCGATATTTATTGTATATTTAAATAGGCATCACATTTTTTCTGCATTTTTCATTTTAAGTTAATTTCAGACATTTGCGTCAGCTGGTCGGAAGTGACGAGTATAACAGGAATTGCCTATCGGCAGTTTAACCGACACGTGGCCACTTTTTTCACACACTCTCTCTCCTCTCTCCCCTTTTAGTAAACTCTCTCGGGGCGATATGACCAACTGCAAACATCCGGTAGCCATTTAAATTATTGCATCCGTTATATTTAAAAATAGTAATATAAAAAAGAGACGCCATAAATAAACAGAAGCTTCAGGCGGCTGGACGGCCAGGTAGGCAAATAAATATATTTGCAAAGTGGTTGCCGTCCAAAATATACCTAATAATTTGACAGTGTCTATGTGCTCAGGCAGCAGATGCTGCGGTGAGGCTTACTTAAAATATGCCAAACAAATTATGTTCACACTTCAACGGAAGGCCGAACTTCGATGGCGTCTGCCTGGCCCATATTGAGAGACAGAGAGGCAGCTATGCCGCTTGTTCTGCTTTTTAGGTTGCCGCTACAAATCATTCCGAGGGCCATGAAATATTGCTTGGGGAGCTTAGAACGTGCTCACAGCGTTAAAGTGTCATTACTGGGTTTAATGAGTCGGCCAACTGCACAAGAACGCTCTCACACAGACACACACACACTCCACACAGGATATAGAGTCAGTAACATATACAGATACACCAAAGAAAAACTAAAGCGATGCATCGCGCTGGGCAGACAGGAACAGTAGGAAAGAGTGAAAGATGGAGAGAAAGTGAAAAAATGTGTAGCATGCAAACAGGCGCAAACTACATTGTTCATTGTCTGCCTCTAATTTATGTGGCTGCCCTGTTGGTCAGCCAGGGCCCAATAAATAATAGTTCTTGCGGCGCGGACCCACACTTAAAGCAAAGGGTATCCGTGGGTGTATTGGTTAATTTTCCCTGACCACTTTGTATATTTTCTATGCTTACTTTTTGGTTTATTGTAAAGTTCATTTACCTATTTTAACTCCCAAACCTCCAGGAAGAGCTGTTTCCAGAGTATCCCTTCTTCCACATTTCCTCACACTTTACTTATTTTTCAGCAACATCCAAATGAAACAGATGACTCGTCTCCAGTATTGTTGCTTCTGCTCTTGATTAGTTACGTCCTGACGTGGAAAAACAAACCCATTAACACTCATACGTCACGTTGTCTGCGAGAGTGTGCAATTCTAAGCAGCTCGAGTAGCAGCTCACTGCCCAATACACGCCGCACTCTCGACTCCTCTGGCCACATAAATTGTGGCACCCAAAATGCATAAACCAAGCATGTCGCGCAATCATTTTCAGCTGCCACGTGCCCCGGCATACATTTTGTGCATTTTATGGGAGGTTGGACTCTCAGACTCAGACTCTCTCTCAGCCGGCAAGTACTTCGCCTTCGACTGCTGCTACTTCGCCTGCAGCCTGTAGCTGCAACTTGCGGGCTACTTTGGGCAAAATGGAACAAACAAATGGCCAGAAATTGGGGCGGGCAGGGAAGACGGTTGAGGGTTGGGTGGAATTTTAAAGCTGATTACTCAATAACTTTGCCTTGGAGTGCATAAAATGCGAAGCATATCCTTCGAGTGCATAACTCCTTGCGATCGCCCCAGTGGCACGAGCAGAGCTTTCAGCTGCCTTGCCACTCGTTTTATGTGCACTTAAATTGTGTTTGTTATTAAAGTCTGTGCGGAGGTCCTCCTGCTTCAGAACCTGATTGTGCTGCTGATTCTCCATTGGTTCTCTGCCTGTTGTTGTTTTCCACCTGGACCAAATGAAATTTATGCTCAAATTGAGTTGCGTTTCGTGTGCGTCGAAGTGTTTCACCGCCACTAGCTCTGGCTCTGGCTCTGGCTATGGCTCTGGCTCCGTCTTCGTCTTCTACTTGGCAACCTTTTTCACATAATTTGAGACACTTAAGTGAGTAATTTATGCTTGCAACATAATTGAGTTGCAGCTGCCTCTGGCTCAAGCAGCACTTAAACCTTCGAGCAAAACACTTTGAGGTCACAAAAGTTAAATGCACCAAAAAACAAAGCAGCAGAGCTAATAGAAATTTTACCAAAAGCAGGAAAAGAGTCTTGATTTAATGAAAACGTCAATGGAGGTTAATGGAAAATGCAGCACTCTTCATAACTCTTGTAAGAATTTGTAAGTTACCGTTTGGCATTCGAATATTTAAGCAAGTTCGAAAACTTTAATAGAAACCTAGATGCGTTTTTATTCATTTTATTAGATGCCTGACTGGAAATTGAAAAATTGTTAGCTCAATTTGGCTTCCATCACCTGCAGTTATTCAATTGGAAAATTACAAAAATATTTTTCAATTTTTTCAACAAGAGTAGTCAAAGTCACAGTCCCCATGTTACAAAGCCAACCAAAAAAATACTAAAAATTTATTTTGGGGGGATATCCCTTTCTAATAAACAAAGCAGCGTAAACACAGCCCAATTTTATGTTGCTCCTTTTTTATTATTTAAATGTGCAGTAAATTCAATTAGGCCACAGTTAAAAACAGCAAGGGCACACAAACACACGGGAAAAAATAGTATAGTCGATGCCACATGGCTGAAATTCAATTACAACCGCTAATGCCACTTGTATTGGCCTGAAGTTCCCGCGCGACCGCAGACTCCGTTCAGTTCTAAATACCTGTAATCCGGCAAATTTAATTTGATAAAAAGTTGAACTTCAATAAGCGCCAAAGTTTCACATGGCCATCGGCCATTATAATTGTGGTCTCGCTCTCGCTCTCTCTCTCTCTCTCTCTGCGTGTGTGAGTGTTGACCAGTTTTTGTTAAGCGACCACCGCAGTGCAGACCGCAAACAAATATGATCAGACATCCGACGAGTGACGGCGATAAGCAGCAACCGACACAAAAACAAAACGAAAGGGAAAGGGAAGCCGCCCATTTGAGCGAGTGGCAACACGGCGGATGAATACGGCTTATGCAAGCAAATGTACGTACACACTGACACACCCCTCACGCACACTGACAGAACTCTAACCAAAACACAGACACTCCTCCCACACAGATGCACGCTTGACACGCGCAAACATCAGAAAACGTTAAGCAAAAAAAACATATAAATGTTGCATACTTTTCTGCGGTGTCTGAAAAGTCCACCAAGTCGTGCGCAAATACAAAAAAAGCATAGAAGTACTTCATATAAAAACATACACCCGCATAACTATGAAATATATTCAATTAAGTGTGTGCTTAAAAATGAATTTATGAAATTAAGTTAACAGCCCTGGGGTATGCAGAGTGCACACTGTATTTTAATTTCATTTAGATGCTAAATTTATTAACTAAAAACCCCAACTTTAAGCGGCAGTTTCATTACAAATAAATTGAAAAAATATTTATATTTAATCAAATGCCCTAGGACACAGACACACAGAGAGAACAGAGCGAGTGCACATTTTATAAAAACGAGAAATCGCATTCTCAAACAATTTTGTGCAATGGAAAAAATTCTAATTTATTGAGTTAACGCCCATTTTTACACCCTCTGCACATGAACAGGATTTAGCCATTGGCCCACGGGTCTGCCCCACCCCCGCTCATAGTCACGCTCGGTTGCATTCCACTAGCCATGACCATAACACAGTCTAAAATTCAGCATGCAAAAAAAATTGTTATACTATATGGAGGGAAAATTTAACGAAAAATTGCCCAACTCGATGCGACTCGGCCACCCGCCTGTCGTCGACAAATGAAATTTTCACGTTTCTGATGAGGGGCGATCCGATCCCAGGGACCCATACAGACAGAGAACACACACACGCATCCGCCGAACATACCCCTTTCTGGATTTAAAACACAAACATTTTCGGCTGTGTCCCGGCAATGGCACAAAAAACACCAAAAAAACAAAAAATAAATTAAAAACTTGCAAAAATTTTAATGGAATTTTTTTTCCCCTCTATTTCTACGCTCTCAATCTGCCACTCCCTTCTGCTACGCTTCGCTCCAGTTGCTGGTGTCATCCTGGCTGTCGTTGTTGGCGGTGGCATTGCGGAAATTGTTGTCCCCTTTGATTGTCAAGCGTCGGCTTACACACATAAATGTCACATCAGCATGCTATGGGAACATTGCGGGAGGGAGAGTGGGAATGGGAATGGGAATGGAAGTGGCAGTCAGAGGGTTAGATGGAGCATCAAAAATAAAAGTTTAGAGAAATATCCGACAGGTTTAGTGAATTGTTTTCTTAACTGGCAGAGGAACTAAAGCTTTAAAAAAGTGAATATTTTACGATAAAAGAAACTTTTATAGCTTCGTTATATTTTATCCCTTAAAACAGATTTTTAATTTTAAAAAATGTTTTTGTCTTGTCATGGTTAAAACTAAATACAAAATAGGTTAAGAAATATGAATTTTTAACCAACATTTCAAACTTACAACCAGAATATATGTACAACATATTTACACAATTGCAGACCTAAAGCTATGAAACCCCCCTTAAACGATTTTCGACTGAACGAGACTACAGTTTGTCCGGAGAATAGAAACTATTCCACACTAGCTCGATCTTTTGCAGCTCTGGCAGAGTTTTGTATTCAAACTCTCCGCCAATGTTCAGGCACTTGATATTCGTCTCATTCTCGAGGGGTGCAAACTTCAGCGACTTGATGCTCTCACAGTTTGGATCCCCATTGGCCGCAAAGCTCGTCCAGATGTCGATCATGCCCATGATGACCTTGTGCTCTGGCGAATCCGGTGCCGACTGGTGTGACAGCATGCTGTGGAAGATGTAGCCCAGATCATCGCCGTGGCAGACACCGCGCACCTGGTGGCCGCAAAGCACGATTCGAATGGAATTGCAGAGCTTTGAGTCATAGTCGAAGCGGTACAGATAGGTGGGCGCACTGCCCTGACGCACTCGGGCCAATGCGGCACGATAGATGGGATGCCAGAACTCGCGATATGAGCTGAGCTCGAGGAACTTCATCATGCTGGCCTGATTGCAGTTCTCCTCCCCAAAGTAGGCACGCTTCAGCTGCAGGCCATAGTTCTCTCTCAGCTTGGGATCCAGATTGTTGCTCATATCGATGGGCAGTAAATTCTTGCAGTTTCCTACCTCATCCAAGGTGGCCGGACGACGGGAGACCTCTGAGGAATAGACGAAAATCATGAATGAGAGTTTCTCTGAAAGAGCTGCCAAGACTCACCTGGATAAAAGAGCAAACCCTCGAAGCTGGTGCCACCGAACATGATAGGCACCCTGTTGCTCCAGCTGTTCTGCATTAACTCATGTGGTGGCTTATCAATAACCGTGTGCTCCGTGCTGTAGGGCTCCACAACAGGTCCAAAGGCAAATAACACTCGATTGTGCTTTTCATCTTTGCTCAAGACTGTTGCTGAGGCTTTGACTATTTCTCCACCATTTACAGAGCTCAAAAACTCAAAGATTGGCTTGTCCTTGTTATCCCCTGCGTATCCCAGTTTCTGTGCCAGACGATAGGCCCAATCGTTTCTTGGAGGATGAGCCCAAGGACACAATACACTGCCCGACATAACGATGGCCTTGTGGATCAAGCCCTCTGTCTGAGGGCTCAGCGTGAGGAAGTGAGTCGAGGCACCGCCTGCACTCTCTCCAAAGAGCGTCACATTCTTGGGATCCCCACCGAATGCTTCGATGTTCTGCTGCACCCAACGCAGGCCCATAATCTGATCCTTGAGTCCGGCATTGCCTGGCACATTCAACTGTGGATCATCGAGGCTAAGGAAGCCCAAGGCTCCAAGCCGATAGGCCACTGTGACCAGCACCACATCCTTGGACATGAAAAAGTCTGGACTGTACATATCCCGCGAGGCTTCTCCCCCCTGAAAGCCACCGCCATAGATCCAAACCATTACTGGACGCAATTTATTTGGTTGTAGCTGTAAATATTAATAATAAAATGATTATTTGATGTAAGTATTTTTGCTTTTGTCTACTCACATCCTTGGCATACACATTCAGATACAGGCAATCCTCGGAGCCGGCAAACTTCTTAAAGAACATGTGTGTCTGCAGGGGTTTGTCGGCTGCCGAAGTGCAATCCAGTTCCCGATCCCATGGCTCCACTGGCTCTGGCGCCTTAAAGCGCAGCTCTCCCACTGGCGGCTTGGCAAATGGTATCTTCTCGAAGCTAAAGTAACTTCCTCCCCAAATGGTGTTGCGCTTTACACCACGCACTGTGCCCAGATTTGTCTTGACCACAGAGTATATGGCTGTTGCAAGCTTTCGCTGCTCATATTTGAAGCTAAGGACCCTGAAAAGATGCAAGGAAATATTTGGATTAAGAATGAAAAGAGTATCGATTGTGTACGGCTTTTTAAATTTATTTGTTCAGCATTGTTATCGTGAGTTTCCTTCCTATCTTGGATCCAAGTGTGCACTCTTCTACATAATACTTTATGTGCGAATCTAACCCACTGAAAGGTAGTCACGCATTGGGGCCATGCCACCGGGCGCAGCAATTTCAATGTCGTTTTGTGGTCTCTTTGTTGTTTTGAAAGTCTTACGAATTGTCAACAGGCTTTTGACCAACCTGAACTCGACGCCCAATTCGTTTGATATTCACAAACTGTCTTCTATTTTTTGTCTATAACTCTCTGTTGGTTTTTTATAGATAATTTGTGGGTGGGCGTGGGGCATGATTTTTGCATTTTATGGTTTATTTTTATATTATTTCCACTGCGCACCTTCGCTAGGTATAAACAAAACATTTTATATTTAACTGGCATTCTGCAAGTGCACTGACACAATTCGCTCACCATTAATGGTACACGAATGCATACAAATCGGTAATTACAAAATGGATTCAACTGAGATAGAGAGAGAGAAAGGCAACAGAGATCGGAGCTGCAAGATTGGACTGCAGAGTACGTGACTGCAATGAGGCTGAGAAAGCCAATACACATATAGAAATTATTGAAATAATCTACATTTAGTTTTCATTAAAAAATAATATACGCAAGTAAAAACTAACAAAGCAAAACTAATTAAGGAAATAAATTCGAATTTTACGACTCATTTGCTTCAATCATTTGACAGCTGCTTTGAATAGCTTCAAGTACAAGTGTGAAGCACTTTATCTTATCAGTAAGTTTTGGAAAAACACTCTGCAAAAAATCAATGCGATAAAGTTAGTGTTTTTCTTCGACTAAATTACAGTTACAGTTACAGTGGTTGCACCTAGCAACAAATAAAAACGGATGGGAAACCACTGACTAATCCCATTGATTTCACATAGCCATAAATGCATATTAATTCGGACCATATACAGATAACTATCGAACAACAACACATCGATATGGCTTATATAATTTTGTTGGGGCTAAATAGCTGCCGTGTCATGCCCGTGAAGCAGAAATCGTCGTCTATCAACTGAAAGTGAAATGAACCCTGTACCCTAGAGACTTATCAGTATGGTTTCTACATATATTTCTATGTGTGTATAGAATACCAATTAAGTTGCCTGGAAATTATACAAATGGTTATAAAATGTGTTGTATTTTAGAAGTAGTACGGAAAAAAAGTGGCTTCAGATAAAAGTCTCAAACGGGTATTAAAAGAAATGATTAAAGACATGTGGCAACATTAATAATTATATTGTCTATAATTAGATAAATCCCCGAAAGAAATACAAGAAGAGAGATATAGAAGCATCTTCCAATTAAGTTGCATGACTTTATGGTTAAACAATTATAATTAAAAGAAATAATTGAGATAATAAATGAAACCTAAGAAAACCAGCAAATTAAGGCAACAACTATTTTGATACTCTTTGATACTAACAGCTTGAAAAGTCTCTTCATTTCGATGAAATATTATTCTTCAGTGTGGAAACTATATTATCTGATTATTAAATTAAATTTTAAACACTCTTTTATTCCTGAAAATAATCCCATTTAACCATTACGAACTTGTCATCTGCCAGAGTATCCCACACTTCGACTCGCACAAAAACCGCCTGTACCTTTCTTTTTATGCTTTCAATTAAAAAAACCTATATAAATATAGATACGCGTACCAAACCCGCACTTTAACAAATATATATATTTGCAATTAACACAATTGCATGGCTTTGCAATAATTTATGTTAAAAATACTAACCATCCGCAAAATTGCTAATAGACCTGCGGAAAACGTGCAAAAAATAAGCAAACAAATGGAACAACGGGGCAATAGCAACAACAACAAAAACAAACAAAACTAACGAATGCCGCCGCAACAATGGAAGCATCGCGCATGAATCAGGGAAGGGGTGAAGGAAGGGGAAAAAACAAACGGCAAAAGAGGAACAAGACGAAAAAGAAGAAGCAGCATCATTAAGTTTATGCAAAACAAAAACAAACAACAAAAACAGCAACAGCAGAAAATCCACAAAAACCAACCAGCAAAGGTTTGCGCAACAATTTCACCAACACAACAAATGTATACGATATCATGTGTACGCATATTTTAATGCATGTCTGTATTGCAAAGCCCCTCCAGTCATCGTCCCCCACCCCACAAACTCTACGTGGAGAGACCTCAAACACAGAAAGGCAGTTAACGCTTCAAGAAAAGAGGGAAAAATCAAGAAAACGAGGAAACACTCGAACTCACTTAAAGGTCAGCTTCAGCATATCCATGAAGCGTGTGGCCATCTTCTCCTTTAGTTCACACTTTTATCACACTTTTTCATGAACACACAACACCGAGCAACAAATTGAATATTTTACTAGCGTTTGACAATTTGCTATGGGAGCGTGGCAGAGAACCCACAGAGAAAGTGTCACAATGTGGTAAACTCAAGTTAACGCGAGTCGGTGAGGAAGCAAGCAGATGGAACAAAAACACGACGCGTTTCGATTGTGCGGTAGAGACTGACTAAACTCGGGTGATCGTGGGGTATCCATATACTAAGCTCCACCACCAGTTGCTGCTCACACCCGCTCTCTTCCACTGATTCGTTCGCTCAGAGAATGAGACAACAGCTGATTGCTTACCTACTCTCTGCACTCCAAATACCGGAATAAATATACCGGTTACACAAAAGCTTTGAAAGCTTCTGCTGCTTGTGCCATTAACAGTATGTTGAGTAAGATCAATGTTAGCGGGGATCCGGCTGGACTGTAATATTAGCAGATGCATGTTAGCAGGAGAATCAATAACAGTTCAGATCGCTTTTGAATCACATGCAAACATACTTATGTTATCTACATGTTCCGGAACTACAAACAATATAAAGTGTGTTAGCCCACAAAAAAACCAGCTGCTGGTGAATAGCACGTCCGTCAGCCAAACCACCTTGAGAGTGAACCTAAACTTAGGCTAATTAACAAAAGCAGAAGACAGACCGACCAGCCAAACGCTTTCAAAAGCTTTTTTTTCCAAGCACCACTTTATGAGTGCATAGTGCCCCACTAACTAGTGCATAAACGCAGACATGAATAGGTTTTTACAACAAAAAATATAATGGCACATGTGACTGTGAACTTGACTTTGGTCTGATTGCATAATTGCAATTGCCTTGTATCAGCAGTGCCCACCACTTGATTCGACTAAGTAAAACCTGCTGACGGGCTGATTTCTTTATTAAAAGTGGGGGGCCTTAATCGAAACATTTCCATTATAGATGAAAGTCGTCTGGCGTTGTGTGGGTTGGTTCACTTTGAGTGATGACTGTATCAGCCTCTGCGGATGGTACATCATCACAGAGAATGACTTGTAGGCAGACAACTAAAAGGAAACTAATACACAGAATAGATAGTAGTAAGTAGAATTGAAATGGAAATATATGTATATAATACCTAAGCAACAAGTACAATCCAATTGGTGTAGACATTTTGTTGTATATCGTTGGCTGTCACGAATGGAACTAAACTGAGGAAATCATTCAAGATTATTTCTAGCAAGACGATGTCAGTTAATAGAAATGATTTTTTGTAATGATTAGCACTTAGCAGCTGATTCACTAGCTACAAAAATACTGTCGCTTGCATTATCCATACTCTAATAAATTTCAATCATAAAAGGTTAATGTGCTCTCTAATTATTCTACAATAATTATAACCGCCAATCACCGTGGCAGAGCAAAAGAGAGAATTCAATTTTAATGGTAACCAATTAGCAAGGAATTAGTCACGCTGTATTTAATCCGACGATGTATCTATTTTTGAGTATTAATTTTTGGGACATGTCCGATAATTTGCTGCCAATTTAGCAGGGCTAGGATTTTCTGATATCTCCCAGACGTTCTCCATGACGTCTGTTGTTTCAGATTTATGCTATGCCAACTCAAAGTTATATTAGCATGATAATGGCAATGCAGTCACATGGATCGATAGTTCAAGGTTTGGACTGATTCACACTTACTTTTGTATAAAATCCCAGTTGGTCATGATGCGTGGAACATCACTATTTCGACGGAAACTTACAAATTTCACAGCATTCAATAGTTTTCTCATTTTAAATATTTGATAACTAAATCAAAGTATTTTTCCAATTTATTTATACCGTTCTCTCATTTGGGTTTCAAATACATTTTTGAGATATTTATTTTTTGTTTTTTCTTTTTTTTTTATTAAAATACGGATTTATATACCATTTCAAATTACATAGTTTCTTTTGCATCACATTACTTTGAAGCTTTTGACAAAAACGGACTCGAATACACAGAGAAGTTTCATTCTTAACGAATATATGTATGTATATATTTTTAAACATATTATTTTAACATTTAATCGTCTTGTGCATATTCCTAAAACAATTCTCAAGTTATCAGTTTGTTGTTTTGTTAATTGGTTCAATAGTTTTTTGTTTTTGTTTTATCTATAAACATATTCTAAAAAATTATGTATAACTTGGACAGGTTTTTTTTGTCTTGATTTGTTGGTTTGTTCAAAAAAACGTATGTATATAAAACAGGTAAATTTCCAAAAGACTTAAGCTACAAATACATATAAATTAATTTTCGGGTTTCTTGGATTAAATATACAATATATATATATATGTTTTTTAAAAACACAATTGGAAAATGATTGGCATTTTACTGGGGGCGGGTGTAAGATTGTGTGCGGCTTTTGATAATTGGAAGAAAATATATAATTGAAATCCTAACTAAAATATAGTATGTGTGCGTTTCGGAGGACCTTAAACTTATATCGATAGAAAATATGTTTGATATTTGTTGGTTGGTTTGTTTGTTTCATTAGCGACGCGACTCATCAAAGGAACATTTAATAGATTTATAACATTTCGCATAGCTCAGAATCTTGGCTGTCTTTGTTTACTCTTTTGTTTTTGTGTTTTTTTTTTTTTGTAGTTTCTCATAGAAGGTACTTCAGTTGCGACTTGTGTTTCATAATCATAACTACTGCCTGGCTTACATTACGCTTCCCGATATAGTTCAGACCTATTCCAGATAGATATACACAGATACATGTAGAAGCTGCTAAAACTTTAACACACTTAAATAGAATCTTTCGATATTGGCAAAAACTTAACAACAGTAGAGGGGGGTGTTTCATTTTTGTTTAGGCCTAAAGCTACGCTTTTGCATTGTTTTGAACAGAGGCTTTCGAACATAAAGCTGTTAGAATCGTACAGATAAAGCTACAGATCTACATCTAAGTGGAGATACTCCACACATTCCATTCCATACCAATCGCAAGTCGCAGGTCGCAATCGCAATCGTTTTTCCTCCCACCTCAAAGCAGTTCGTCGCGCCTAAAGAAACTCTCCCAGACCATCAGCTTACGCAGATCGGGCACATCGATTATTTTCAGCTCATCGGATATATTAAGGCACTTTAGCTGATGTTTCTCGACGGACGCCGCGGACACTGGCTGCCACAGTTCCGACTGATCCGGATCAAAATTGGGATTACCATAGGCCGCGAAGTGGGTCCACAAACCCACCAGGCGCTCAATGCACTTGTATTCCCGCGTATGGATCTTCAGTTTGCGGGCCAGTGAATTGTAAAAGAGATAGGAGAGATCGTCGCCGTGGCAGGTGCCTCGAACCTTCTTGCCACAACTAAGGATGCGCAGGTGATTGAAGTGCTTCGAATCAAAATCGAAGCGATACAAATAGGTGGGTGCACTCCTGGCATACTCCAGGCGAGACAATACTGTGCGATAAATGGGGAACCAGAAGTACTCATGGGAGACCATCTATAAGAGAAAGAAAGATCTAAGCGTTAGTAAGAGAAAACAGAAACACAAAGATTTGCATGTAACCCACCTGTAGGTACTCGTGGAGTGTGTCCAGACTTGGCATTTTATCGCCATAGTAGCACTCCCTCAACTGTTCGCCATAGTCTTTGCATAGAGCGCTCTCTCGATCCATGTTCAGTTCTATGGGCACCACAAACCGGCAATCATCCAACTCATTCAGGCAATTGGGTTTGGCTTTGGTCTCCGAATACAGGAGTAGACCCTCATTGGAGACGCCACCCAGGATGAGGGGTATACTGTTGCTCCAGGCGGTGCGCATCATTTCAATGGGTTTCTTCGGCACCACACAATGACTCGTGACAAAGGGTTCGATGACGGGTCCAAAGGAGAAACCAATACGTTCCTTTTTCTCCGCCTCGATGCTTAGATCGCCGTTGGCTTTGATTATGTCCGAGCCCTTGGCATTGCTGAGAAACTCCCAGACATCGCGGGTGTTATTCTCACCCGTGTAGCCCGCCTGGACGGCAAGACGATATGGCCAATTCCTCTGTGGCGTCACCGCCCAGGGGGAGAGTGTGTTGCCTGACATGCAGATGGCCTTGTGGAAGAGACCGCGTGTCTGCTCTGTGATCATCATGTAGTGCACGGAGGCGCTGCCAGCGCTATCACCAAAAATAGTTATGTTCCCAGAATCTCCGCCGAAACGAGAACAATTGGCCTTGACCCAACGGAGGGCCAGCACCTGATCTTTCAGCCCCGCATTGCCGGGTACATCCAGCTCAGGATCATCTAAGCAAAGGAAACCTAATGGAAAGGGGCCACAAAGTTAGCTTAAGTATCTCTAAGTGTCAGGGGCTTACTTACCTAAAGGACCCAGTCGATAGTTGATGGATATCACGACCACATCTTCGCGCAGCAAGTAGTCGGGACTGTAGCACTCGCGTGAGGCTTCTCCAAATTGAAAGCCGCCTCCATAGATCCAGACCATCACTGGCATGGGTTTGGTGGGATATAACTGTGTGAGATAAGTCAGATAACCTATTAGTAAAGCCATTTCCAAATATCGATCATCAGCCTAACTCACATTCTTTGTGTAGACATTGAGGTACAGGCAGTCCTCGGAACCGTCTGTCATATCGAATACAAAATGTTTCTGCAATGGCTTTGGCCCCTGTGATGTACAGCTGCGCACCTCTGTCCAGATCTCTGGCGGCTGTGGTGCCCTATAGCGGAGCTCGCCCAGTGGTGGTTTGGCAAAGGGTATGCGCTCGAAGCTGAAATATGGCTGGCCATAGATGGACTTTCGTTTGACCCCCTTGATGGGTCCATAGGTGGTGCTAACGACTGTCTTTTCGCTGGTCCTATAGCGACGCTGTTGCACTTTAAAGTCCACCATTCTGCAAAAGGATAGAGGAAATAACACATTTAGAGAGGGCTGCTAAAAAGAGTGAGACTTCACGAAATTTTACCATTTATCAGTAACAATAAACGACGTCAGCTTTGCTGATATTGATGGGACTGTCTTTTCCGTTTAACTTTAACTTCAGCTGATAAGGTTAATTCTTTATCAGCCTGGGGGCCCCAGGTGTGTACCATTTATCAGTGCCGGCATAGAACCCCAAACCCCAACCCCATAGGCCGTCTCGAATGATACTTAAACGGTAGGCAATATTTTTCGTTTGTTTGTATTTATTTCGAATAAACAAAATCCACTCTGCGCTGGTATCATTCGTCTCGCTTTTGGTATCAAATGATAGACAAAAGTAACAAAACAAACAAATTTCCTAGAGCAAGTCATTCAACTTGGGAGCAAACCTAAATTCAAGGGCAAAAGGCCATTGGAATTATACTTTTATTAAGGTTAATTTTTGTTTCTATATAGCTTGGCAGATACTAATATGTGAATTGATGTGAGGGGATAATGGATATACATAAACGAAAATAGAGAGATTTTTTATGCTCTCTGTGAAATTGGGTTAATCGGTACACAAAAAAAGAACTCAAGGTTGTTCACTTGCTGAACGAACTTGTGAATTCAAGAAAATTGTTATATGGGGAGACATTAAATGTGCTTCTAGGAACTATCCATAAAAATGTATTTATACACCTACAGTTGTACCATTTCTGTACTCAAATCTTAATTGTAGAAAATAGAAGGGGCCTTTTACGTTCTGCCAAAAATAGCTACAAAAAATATATTAAAATTTATAAAGACCTCAAGGTTTTATTTTATTGATAAGGTGCACCGAATTCTCCCAGTTTTTGCTTAGTTTTTGCACTTAAATCTTGATTTTAATTAATGTTTAAATAAAATTGTTTCCCACTGAAACGCCCCCCGATAGGGCCGGCTATTGTTTATCGATTGCCCTTAATGGTTTCATCAGGTAGACAAAATAAAACCGATTTCGTCATGGTATTTTCCTATTCTGATTGCCTGCTGCAAAAACGAGTCAAATGAAACGTGTTTCAAATTTGAATTATGCATTTTGTGGCTGCCTTCCACACACGCACACACATGCTATAAAAGCTAAAGGAAATAAAGAATGAACTCAGCCAAAACGCCAAGTGATCTGTCTGTCCACAGGCATTGTTTTCTTTTGTTCAAAAAATGTCATCAGCATAACGAAAAATATATCAAAATTTATGTTTATTAATAGCCGGAACGAGCTGTTGCCCATTTTTCGACTCACTTGGAAGATGAAAGTCCCCCAAAACGCATGATGTGAATAATACATCCGGAGCAATTTTGGTCTATCGTAGACCTTGGCCTTGAACTTAACATAAAGGGAAATTGTTTTGGTCGGGGGGAGAGAAATGAAAGGGAATGGCAACGCTTAGGCTAATGGTCGGCACCTATAAAAAGAAAGTCAATATAAATAATGTTTATGAAGGACGGGTCTGTTGGAGTCATAAAAGATTATATCCTAATGCCAGGCTTGCGTGCAAGAGTCCAATGCCTCATTGGACACACACCTAGATGGGATCCTGGGGACTGCCCATTGGGTTTTAGGGTCAGTTATAAAATACCAACAGCCCAGAGGAACCTGCACAAATTAGTTGATGGTTAATTTTTAGAGCCTTTAGTCCCACAAATTATACAGAATATTGGACACGTACTTTGATGAAATCTGAAACGTTCCATCAACTGTTTAATCTATGTAAATACTTAATTTGTGTTTCATTTCTTTTCTGCTTAGTTTTTCCGTTCCTCGTTCTTTCCCTATTTTCATCTTTTCAAGTCTTGGGGAAAATCTTTTTGCTAAACGATCTTGTGTGTCCCTCACTGATTTATGTGTTATTCTTGGCCTCTGTACAACAAATCTCAAGCGATAAATTTGAAGAAAAATAAACAAGATTCTCTTTTCTCTTTTTTTTTTGCTTACACTAAGAAGGCAAATATTCAGCTGCTTATGAGCATGAAGTGACGACAGCAGGCACCACCAGAGCAGGCCAGAAAATACCAGAGACCAGAACCCCAAAGCCAAATAAACTTTCGTGCAAAAATAACGGAACAGAAACGATACAATTCTTGAGTTTTATTATTTCCGAAATCGTTAAAATGTAAAATTAATTAAGGCAAATGTTTGTAAGCAAAGTAAATAAAGAACACTGTCTAGCTAGTCCCACATTTGCTCTCAAAAGTTCCATATTTTAGTGCAAATCGTAGGTTAATAAAAAAGCTAACTAGAGTTAAATGAACCCTAGTGAGTCACTAATTTAGTGGAAAAATGGTACCTATGGTTCCTACAATGGAAATGTTTTGTGTTCTACTTTCATAAAACTCATAATCTTGGTTATTCGGCTTTTTTTTTAAAGTCATCCCATTTAATTCTGAAGAAGAAAAAGGCATGAAAACATACATATAATTATGAAATAAAAACACAACATGCCTAGGCTTCTCTTGACATCATGTCAGGCATATAGAAACACATTAAAGTTGAGAGTGCTCTGTAGAACCCCCCAGAGAACAGAGTCTTATCAGGCACGGTTTTCGAAACATTTCCAACGCAGCTTGAGCGGCATTTGCGGCAGGTTTTTATGCCACTGGAAGCACCAGATAAGCTCGGCTTATGTCATGAGTGAATCAATGAATTTTCCATACACCGCACTACCCCAAGCCTAATCTGCCACGATCCGCTTTGTTATCAGCCAGACGTAGGACAAATCCGCCACGCGATTACCCATATAATCTAGACAAGCATCAAATATTGTTCAAATGACTAACTGACAGACAGATAGACAAACAAACTCACAGAGAAACAGTAGGTACAGACAACAAGTCATGGTCAAGTTAGTTTTTGACCAAAGAAAACGCTAACATATGATTATGGCGAATCATAAAGAACACAGACAGGCACCGAAATTAAACACACCCCAAAGAGCCACATCATAGAATTTAATTTCCGTTGCAGAGTACCCATCAAAAAATAAAAATAATAATAAAAGTTGCCTTCTATTTGTAGACATTTTACATGAGAGTGCGGCGGACATGGCGCTGACCTTGGCAAGGCTGCCAAAGCTCATTCCCAATGAAAGCTTCCCCATTGCGCCATGAATGAACATGATGCAGAAAGCTTACTAGGACACAGCAACTGACTGTCTGCCAGAAGGTTCTGAATGGAATGCGCACAGATAGAGCAGAGAGAGCAGGTCAAGGAGTCAACCGAAGGCCGAACCAAGAATTTACTGTCTCTTTATATATTATTTAATCGGAACATTTAATTTGATTAACCCTAATGGTCTAACAATATTCAAAACAAACTTTTCAGCTGCTTAATTTGATAAAAAGTCGCTAAAAATTGCAACTCATTCATTGAACAATTCGTATAATATATTCCGCTGCCAGGCAAACGTATATATATTATACTTATCTGAATGTTTGCTCTCGTTGCGGCAATTCTTTCATTCTTTATTCATTTAAAACATTTTTTTGCTGCCACACAAAAGCTTTTTACACAAAAAAATAAAAAAATAATAGAGAAGAAATTGCGGGAAAATTAAATGAGATTGACATGCTTGCATGTGTGTTAGTTTATGTGTGTATCCCTATATGGGTGTGCTTGTGTGGGCGTGTAGGTGGAAGCACGAATTGCTGGCGACAAAAATTTCATACAATATAAGCGAAATTTGTATGCCGCAGTCATACCTACTCGTCGGCAATGGACAATGTCAGAAACACATGCACACAAACCATACGAATACTTAGAAGAAGAATGCAGATAAATCAGCAAAAGTGAAGGAAATAAATTATTAACAGGTGACAATACTATTTTGTACACTTTGCAACACTAACATACTTTCTAGCACTGAAATTGTTAGCACTAATCGGTTAGTTAAATGAGCAGCTAATTGTACAAAGCATTTCAGCCTTTTCCCACACTGGTTACCGTGCTAAACAACACTGAAACTTGTCTATAAGAGAAACAAACAAATTTATTTTGTTATGTCTTTTTTATTTCTTGTGCTTGCTATTTTTTGATGAACAATGTACTGTGTTTCAATTTTGATGCCCCTTCCAATAAATATTTGAATGCTTTTAATTAAACTAATCCCAATTCCTCTTCTACTTCTTGCGCTGATTTTCGCCAGCAAGAATCATGGCAATGCGTATAAAGATATTGAGAGCATCCATATATATAGCCAGAGCCATATTGATTGGATCGAATGGGGAAACGCCATACTGTGGATGCAACTCGGCTGCGTGCACAATGCGCTGTGTGTCGTAGAGCAAGAATCCGCTGAACAAGATCAATCCACCGTAGATCGACATGCTGGCCAGGCCAGCTCCCACGGCTGTTGTGGGTGGCAGCCACATACCAGCCAGAGATGAGGCAAAGACCACACCCAATCCAATGGCCAAGGGACCGCCCAGGTGGAGAAATTTATCGCTTGGTGCACAAGCGGCCACCGTGGAGAGGGCGCCAACAATACCGCCCGTGTAGATCAGGGCCCTGGTCAGAATTGGACCGCCCAGGAAGCACATGGGCGCTAGCACTGCGCCAAGAACGGTGCAATGGGCCAGCCAGGCCAGCTGCTTGGCACCAAATCCTTCCTTGTATTCGAGTGAGTGGGTAAGGGCTCCGGAGGCCATCACCACGCCCAGGGTAATGAGCCCGGCCATCATACCGGAGCGAGTCATCAGATTCATGACGGCCTCAGACTGGAAAAAGGCAGCCGCTGCGGCAGCTGTGATTCCACACGATGCCCCAAAGTACGCATACGTGGCATGGATGCGATCCCTCACATACTGCGGCCACATCATTGAATGATCATAGAGGCTGGTTTGCTTGGACAGGCCCAGTCCGTAGTAGCAGAGTCCCACGAGACCCATGAGGGCAGCTCCTGCCGCCGCACCTTTGCCCATGGAGTAGGCGTTCTCGCTGGGCGGTCCCATCAATCGATCCTTGAGCGAGGGTCCACGCGTACGACTCTGCAGATGTGAACGCTCGTGATCCTTGGACTCACGTGAATAGTCCCGACGCAGCATATTCTGTAGTTGCTTCTTTGGTATCACAGACTTGCCCTGGCCCATCCATGGCAGTGGACAAGGATTCTTCTTCATCAGCGGCATAACCTTGGTCGATTGCCATAGTCGCTGCCCTGTGACCTGGCCCAAGAGACTTGACGAACGTCCTGGCAGGACGTGACTCAAGCGAATCAACAGCATTTTAACTGATTCCCAAATACAATTTTTTTAGAAAGGCTACAAATATTTTTGTGCCTTGTTTGGTGTTCTCTAACTTTTATCGGAATGATTCAATGATGAAAAGGCTACTGGGATAAGTAGAGACATTTTCCACAGAAGAAAGATTGTTTCTAGATTAATTTGTTGAAGAATGCTTCAGAGATTCATTCGCCGAAGAATTCACAAGAAATATTTGCACGTGCCGTTGAGAAGACTTATAAATGATAGCAGCAGAATATTGTCTCAAATTGAAGGTTAATTGGTTTCCCACAGATGAATTCGTTGTGTCAATTGGGACAGATATCCAAATTGATTTCGTTCAATAAATAAGAAGCACATTTGGTCAATTCGAAATTATAATTTTAGATGCCCCCAAACGAGATTGTTTCGTGAGGTGCCAATCTAGCCAATGAATACTGAAAATACATTGTATAAGAATTTGCTGGCAATTTATTTATGCCACAAAATTGGCTTGAATGTGGGCTTGAAAATGGCATTTCAAACTGTCACAAATCAAAAACAAGAATAATCCAACTATGCAAATGAATGCAGAATGGGAAATACAACGAAAAATCTATGTATTATATAATACATTTATTTTTAAAAAGCAGACAATACGTTGCAAATAACTGTAGAATCACACCATTTTTGCGGGAGCTCAGTTTCATGAATCCTAAGCTTGATTTTCCCTTCAATAGGCTAATGAAATCATCGTTGTATCGATGGGCCTGAGAGACAGCAGAAACCAAACCAGTTAGCCGCTGCCTCTGATCTCATACAAAATTCTCCCTGTCTCTTTTTGGTTTAATTCTCTTTTTTGTTTGCAATTTGTGAGTCAGCTGCTGCTGCGGCTGCTGGGTCTACTATAGTTTTTACACAATAGAATAATTTACATGCCCGTACATCCCGCACCGAGAGAGTTTAGCAGGGGGCGGCGGTCTAGTTTGCTACCTAATTATTTGCGCAGTTTAAGTGTCGGCACAGAAAAAGCCAAAGACCCCCAGACCGGACTCATATGACAGACAGCTGTAGCTATGGCACTGCGGTGGTATTTGTGTGTGTGTGTGTGTGTGTGTGTGTGTGTCTGGGATATGTCCCTGTGTTTGTGCGTATCTGTGTTTGCTCATTATGAAGACGAGAACTAGAATTTCCTAGAATCAATAGAACGCAAATGAAAGGGACCCGCCGTCATTAGAAGCCTGTGTCTCACACAACAACCCCCCTGGAAGCATACCGCCTCAGGTTATTGTTGTTGACTTTTACATAATTATATATGTATGTATGCGCATGTAGGACCCCAAGGACGAGCAATCCCTAGGGGGTAGATAGGAGCAGCTGTTGCTTTAATACTGAGGCAATTTAATTGTTTCCAGCTGTGCAGAAGCAAAACATGTACATACAGGAAAAAAATATATGTACGTATTTACAATAGAAATTCTTATCTGTTGAGTATTGGGGTATACAAGAGTACAAGTGTCTTTTATCTTTTGGCGCTTTCTTGAGGGGGGAAGTGTTAGTGTGGTACTTCCCCAATCATCAATCAGCCAGAACTAATTCAAAGAATTCGCAATTGCCGATCATCAAGGGAATTGACGTCAAAGTGGGGATCCAGTGGATGGATCCAGGCATATGTACATCATTGCGAATTGTGTGCCCCAAGAGCACCATGTATGGTCTGGGGTATGAGGTGTGCAACTTAATTATATAGTGTGCCTAGTGTAGATGGGATGACAGCACTGTGGCTGATGTCATGATGAAAGACTTGCCTAAATTGGGGGTAATCGTTAAGGCAAGTCATTCAATTGTAAATTTACAACATGAAATCGGTACTAATCTATCTACAATATTCAACTTACTTGAGTCCAATTTTGAACTGATCAAATGCAGCCATGGAAGACATTTTGGTGTTCTCTTATGTTCCGGGCTCAAATTTAATCAAAAATATTGTAAATAGCTATTCTCTCTTGTTTTATATTTTTATAAACTGTTGTGTTTCTTTGGTTTTTCTTTTATAAATATTTATTACAAAAATTACTTTAATTTGTATCAAAAAGTGGGTTGGTTGAACCACGCCAGCTGTTGTTTTTGTTTTATGGCTTTTTTGTTTTGTTTGGTTGGCCTTGCAAGGACCCTGCGTTGTGTATCAACAAAAATACAGTCTCTGTAGCTTGGCTACTGATAAGGAGCTTTCGTGTCCTGCGCACAAACACAATCACAAAGCACCCACAGGATGAACGAACCGAACCCCTTCCCGCACAGCAGGAAAAACACACGCGCTGTGGCACCACACGCAGGATAATTTACACGACGAAAAAAGCACAGATTCCGCACCATTTATCACACATAAGACACGCGCAAAAACAATCCAATTTTCGGTTTAAATTCTTTTGAACACTGCCACCAACTATTACTTGCTTTTCTGTCGCTTTTTATTAGTAGTATATATAGTTTGTGTTGTTGCTTTAGTTGATGGTGGAACTGTGTGTGCTTTGTCTTTCCGGATTCTGTTCAGTTCAGCTTTCGTTGCCGTTACGCGTCCGCTTGGCGTGAAGGCAGCTCATCAACTGTGCGCAAAAGCACGCGCCATAAAAGTTCTAAGCGAACGAAACACCACACACCGATAAAGCTTTTCCCCCCTCTTCCAAACTAAACATAAAAGCATGCGGCGATACGTTGCGATGCGATGCGTTGCGTGCGTAGTGGATGGGTGGGTGGCGTATCTCTATGAACGTTATCTATAATTCAGAAGCCTCACAATTATGTATATTGAGGCATTATTCTACAGAAACTGAGTCACTCTCGCAATTACATGGCAAAATTTTCGACTTTGTCCTGCGGCATTTATCGATGAGCCCCCTTATATGAGCTTTATCATTGCCACAACAAAAACAAATAAGAAATATCTGATAATAAAAAAAAACCATATTGATAGGCTGCGGCGCGGGCAGCAAGTTGTGATTTTGCTGATTCGACACTGAAATTCCATGTGCCGTGTCACTTTTTTGTTTGACGATGGTTGAGGACATGCGGCGTGTGTGTAATCTTTATGGCCCACTCACTCATCGTGTGATAAGAATGTGTGGTACCAGTTTCTGCGAATGAGTCAGTTTAGGGAGTACTTCGAGGAAGCCATCTTCGATCTCAGGCAATAGAAAAAGTACCCACTCATGTGGATAGACTATCGACAAACTGTTATTAAGTAGTACTGTACATAAGTGGTCTCTAATACTCAAGGAGCGATAATATAATATAATGAAATGATTGAAATGATATTGGGATTGAATAATAATTATAAGGTATAAAATGGTCAAAGAGAATCAAGATAGAATCCTTTTTACCTTAAAGCTTCTTTCGTATTTCATCATTTGTATGCAAAAACTACTTATGACTTCATCGTAACTCAAATATAGCTCACTCCCAAGCTCACTCCCACTCTAGGCTCTGTGCATTCCAGGAAATGTTGTGTATTACCTCAGATAAAGTCATTCATTATAAGTGGGGCATGCCACTCGCGTCCCGCCTCCCATGTCCCGTGAGGCAAACCAAACAAAGTCATGTGGAAAAAACAAAATAAGGGAAGGCGAGAAAGGAAAGTCAACAACACACAGTCACAGCTGATTGAAAGGAGCTACTGACTGACTCCTGTTGCTATGTAAAAGCTTTATGCTAAATAAAAGCTTAAATTAAATAGCTTTTCCATAGCTTTTGGCCAGCTTTTAACGGTCAAACATTTATTTTGATTTGTTTCATATTAGCATAAGTTGTGGTCAGTTCTTATTTTGGTTTGGATTAGTCTGGTCTATGAAATCAAAGTTGATTGGACTTAACACGAAACTACGAGCATATGAATATGAATCCATGAGTTTCGTACGAATACTCATACTGTGTATGGCAGACAGTTTTGTTTTTATTTATGATACATTAAATAAATAACCTTGGATGGGGGGTAATATAAACTCTCGTGACTCTTGGCGCTTATGTTGCCATGCGCTTTTCAGTGAGCGAGCTTTTCCTCTCTGTCTCATTTTTAAGTTTCTTTTTCTTGATCTCTTCCTCTGCGCTGCTCTCTCAGACGATCGCGTGCGTACTCTGTGGCTCTTCTGGCACGTTTTTCTGCTTTATGTTCTCTAATTCACTTAAATCAATTTAGAAATAGTTCTTTTTTGCTGCGACTACGACTATTTCTGTCGCACAATTGTTAGATTTTAAATGATTTTGATTAAACCAAAATGATTTCAATCAGCGACTCAGCAAAATAAAAGGCAGACAAAAAAATGTGCAAATTCTGAATATTGTTTTATGTATTTACGTTTGCCATATGGTGGCATGTGAGTTTCTCTCGTGTTTCACCCGAAATTTTCCACTGTTTAACTTCCAACAAATGTTAAATATTTTGTGGGGGAGCAATTTTCCGTGCTTCCATCAGATTTCCCTGAAAAATTAGGGGCAATGAGTAAATGTTTTTCCCAAAAGTGTACCAGCAATTCCGATAAATTAAAAATTCATTTCCGTTAATCTTACAACTTGCGTATGCGCCACAACAACAACTAGAGGGACTCCAAGGACCGTGGCTAAGAAAATGTAAATGGAATATCAAATGTCCAAAAACTGGTAACAGGGATAGCAGCTAAGGCAGCCGTGCCGTGACTGTTCAGTGGGTTCGAGTCGCATATGATAATCATAAGCATTTCGCGCCGCCCAACAATTGCCTCATGAATTTTTTAAAGGCAAATCAAATCAAACGGACGCCTGCCACACCCCATACTCATCAGAATGCCCACACCCCCAGGACCACAGCACAACAACACAACACAACACTCCTCCTTCTCTTCTCCTCCTCCTGTGTTTGCTCCTTTGGCAAGAAGTCATAATTTTCCGGCTGCTCGCGTGACTTTTCCATGCCATTTCGTGACTTGATTACATGCGTCCTTGTTGTTGCTCCACGTTGTTTTCGTTGCTGTTTTCCTGGCGATAATTGGGGTTGAATTTTCCCTCATATAGACTTCACGGGGGGGGCCATCAAAACCCCATACCCCATGACTTCTGCACGTGACACCCAGAACAACTACTGTCTGTGATTTTTAAAATTCAAACAAAAAAGAAACTTTTGACACACTTTAACACACACATGACTTACACGTAGTGAGTGGGTGGTGAGTGTATTGTTTTTGAAGGGGTGTTGATATGAAAGATGATATCTGAAAAGGCTTAAAAATAACTTTTTTCAACAACTTGCATGAGTTTGTAAGAGCAGAACACTTTAGTTGGGGATTAGACCCATTTTTACCAACTTAAAGCTGAAAATATTGTGAATCCTTTTTGCATTTTTCCATTTTATGCAAGTTCATGCCTAAAACTAAATAGTTTTGTCCTGAGATAAAGACGTTTCTGCTCATAGTCTACACATATCTATATGTTCCAGACCTTATTTAGTTAATAATTACTTTGACAATTAATAACGTAAGCACACAACTTTTCAATAAAATATGTTTGTTGAGGAGATTTCCCGGATTTAACCGCAAACAAAATGTTGACCAGACATTGTTGCATACTTTGCGGCTGCCACCGAAATTCCCAATTTGATATTTAGTCATCCCCAAAAAGCCGCCCCGACAGCTGCCGCAGCCCCCCAAATAAAACACAAATTTCCAGCAAATTTGCTAAGCACCTGTAAATAATAATTACAGTATTACAAACCATAAATAAAATTTCAAAAAATACATGAAATTATATAAAATGAAACACCCCTGCGCCCAAAAACAAAATTATGTTTTGAGACAAAGGTCAACGGAAGCCAACGAAACCGAGTTGCTGGGCTCCCTAAATGTGAAGCACGTGTAAGTTTTTAATTACAATTAATGGTTGACATGGTCGGGAGATGCGCGAGAGCACAGGATGAACTGTGTTTGTGTGTGTGTGTGTGTGCATTGTGTTTTTAGCGGTCTTTGAAGTTGCCATAGACACAAGCATCTAAACCCCACGATACAATATGACAAGAATAAAGGGGGGCTTCAGCTGTTCCCAGGCTTTCTGTTTAGTCGCTTGACAGCACGCATATGTATATATTGTGTGGGTGTGTGTGTGTAAGTATGCGTGAGTTTGTGGGCAGGTGTTAATATTGTCATGTTTGAGCATTTAAGTATTTTTAATATCATAACGCGTTGCATACTTTATGGCGGAGCTTTGGTTTGCCAGGTATAACCCAAAAACTCACACAAGCGTGATTACACAGGGGCCTACACGTGCATTTATAAGAGTATTCGATGTATACTACATACCTACATACTTATATATGTACACATATTTCCCGGGCATAATCAGATCAATGTATGCCCTTGTTGGGTTAAAGCTTTTGGTATGGGTAATCGGTTTAGTTTTTCGATGTGAAGTCAAGCTTTGAGGGTTTGTTAGAACTAAAAATATGTCAATAAATAGAGAAAGCTCCTTTGCATCTCAAATTTTATGATTTTCTATATGGTTTTCTATAAGTAGATACTCTAAGAAAAATAATAAATAAAACTCATTATAATTTATATCAAAAACTTTTATTAATATTACTAAAATTTAAAAATACATTCAACACATGTTTTCTGCTAACAAATCAGTCCTTAAAAATTAATATTCTTTTACAATATTCAAACCCAAATACACAAATTTCAATTCCCCGCTCACCAAAGACTTTTTGATGGCCAACAAAATGTTGTGGCCAAACAAAATATTTGCCTAATCTTGTTATTATTTTCAGTTTCTTCTCTTTTTTTCTGTGTATCTACTCTTAAGACTAAGCTATAAAAAATAGCTATTTACATGTGTACATTTGATGTGCTTTTAAGGCCGCTCGGGCCGGCTTAGGGGCTACTGCTACGGGCTATGTCTAAGGCCTACGGATTGCTAAGGGTAAATAAGCGGCAAAGCCGCCTGAGAGTTTGAGGTGTGGGATGGACAGTAGCAAAAATGTGATTCAGTACAAGAGTCGCCTGTCATAGATGCTATCCCAGAGCCGCAACTTCTCGGCCTCTGGCAAATCAATCACTTGCACATCATGTGAGATATTCAGGCATTTGAACACCGCATCCTTACGTGAAATGGGCAACCAGGTGGATGTGGCTGCGGGTGTGCCTGTGCCCTGCGGCAGGCACGGCTGCTGTTTTTCATCGTGCGTGACCAGCGGTATATTGGGATCTCCGCTTATGGCGAACTGCACAACCATGGACACCAGACGTTTTATCGTCTTAAATTCGGCCGTGCGGCGTTTTAGTTTCTTTGCTGCCGCATTGTAAAACAAATAAGACAAATCATCGGCATGACAGGTGCCTCGCACCTTGCGGCCACAGGTGATAATCCTCATGATGTTGAAGTGCTTCGAGTCAAAGTCAAAGCGATACAGATACGTGGGCGCCTCTGGAGCGTAATGGGCACGCGAGAGCAAAGTCCTTTGGATGCCGTGCCAAAAATATTTGTACGAAAAGAGCTGCAAAAAGGGCAAGAGAGAAAGGTTAATTATGGTAGATTAAGTCAGAGAAATTCACACTAAAATAATGAACGTTTAACAGTGACATTCATTTAAATGAATGACTATCAAAATGCATCTAAAAAATGCTGTAATTACTTCTTGTTGCCACTTACATCACTGTACTCCAACATTGTCTCACGACTGGGTTTCCTATCTCCGAAATAGGTTTCCCTCAGCTGCTTGCCAAACGCCCGCTGCTGCTCCTTGTCCAACTGCGCATCCCTTGGAGCCAGATACTCGCAATCTCCCAGCTGACACAGCAACTCCGGCCACTTGTTTATCTCGGGGAACATTAGCAGACCCTCAAAGGAGTTGCCGCCAATGACCATGGGAATGGAGTTGCCCCAACAGTTGCGCATCATCTCCAGCGGCGACTTGGGTATCACACAGTGATCTGTTTCATATGGTTCGATGGTGGGACCAAAGCAGAACATGGTCAGGCGCTGATGGCGCTCCTCCATGGTGATGATATCGTCGGTCACCCTCAACAGGCTGCTGGCCTTGCATTTCTTTAGATGAGCAAACACCTGGCGATCGTTTAGCTCTCCGGAGTAGCCCGTGGCCTGGGCCAGGCGATAGGTCCAATTGATGTGCATCGGGGTCTGTGCCCACGGAGCCAATGCCGCACCCGACATGAGCACAGTCTTGTGAAAGAGATTGCGGGTCTGCTCCGTCAGCATCATGTAGTGTGCGGACGCTCCACCTGCACTCTCACCAAAGACTGTAATGTTCTCAGGATCGCCGCCAAAGAACTGACAATTTTGCTTGACCCAACGCAGGGCCATCACTTGATCTTTTAGGCCAGCATTGCCGGGCACATCCAGCTCCTTATCGTCGAGACTGAGAAATCCCAGGGCACCCAGGCGATAGGAGATCACAACCAGGACCACATGCTCCATCATGATGTAGTCGGGACTGTACAAATCCCTTGAGGCCTCGCCCATTTGAAAGCCACCGCCGTAGATCCAAACGAGCACTGGCACAGGTTTATTGGGATGCAACTGAGGGAGGCAAACAAATGTTAATTCCATATTTTATCGATTTAATATCGATTTTCTGCACTCACCTCTCTGGTGTACACATTAAGGTACAGACAATCCTCGCTGCCCTGCACCAGTTTCATCACAATGTTCACCTGACAAGGCTTGGAGCGTACCCTGGTGCATCGCTTCACCTCCGTCCAATGGTCAGGCTCTACGGGCGCCTTGAACCGCAGCTCCCCCACGGGGGGCTTTGCAAACGGTATGCCCTCGAAGCTAAGGTAGTTGTTCCCATATATCGACTGCCACTTGACGCCCTTCACCTTGCCATAGACCGTGTCGGCAATTACCTTGTCATTGCTCCGAAGGCGCTGTTGGTTTGTCTTGAACTTCACATAGCTGCAATGAAAGTGGGGAAACACACAGATACATTAATACAGACCTACACCTCTCACACGCTCGCTCAATATACTAAGTGCTTTCAGGGTTTCGTATCCCTTATACATTTGTTTTGTTTATAAACAAATATGTGTACTTCAGTATTACTGAATACTTTTCTAGTATCTTTTGCGAATTTCCAATTAGCGCGTAAACAAAACAAAATATAAATAGCCAAATAGTAAAATAGAATGGCAACAGATAGTCTATAAACTGAAGGGTGACCTATAAATTAGTGAGTTTGTAGGAAATGTAAAGTAGCTGTGGGAAATTTATGAAAATTAATAAGAAAACTTGAATATAAATACAGTTTGGATAGGATGAGCCTTTCATTTGATTCAAACAAGTCCAATGAAAAATTCTCCCTAGGGAATAATTCAAAATTTCAGATAAAATATTAAAAATATTTTTTCTTTCTTCTCAGAGTTTCAATTTAAGGAATTCTGTAAGAACTCTCTTTCACCTACGAGTTTTCAGTTCTCCAAACTCCAACCCCAAGAGACCAAGCGTTTCCAGCAAGAGCAGCACTCTCCATTCTTAATGACTAGCATCGTACCCTAAGTATTCCAATGTAGGCGTGCCCCATTTAAATTTCAAGTGCGTTTCCATTTAGAAACGTGCGCTCTAAACGACGCGTGAGCCGATCCACAACAGACCGAACCAAAAAGTGCTCGCTGGCTGCAAAATATATTGTACTTATTGTACGCATATGGCAGAAGATCACTCGTACATAGTAAAAAGAGAAGACGTGGACGCGTCCGATATGATGATCACAAATCATGGGAGGCCACAATTAATTAACAGCTGCCCGGCGTCTTCTGACTGTTTTCTGTGGTCTGTGGGGGCCAACCTTGAAGGGGGATTCCAGAAAACGTTCGCATAGAACTGCAATTGGTGTGAATTGTTAGATATCCAGTGCTAATTGTCAGTTTCCAAGCGGATCGAGGTCGAGCCCTAAGATTATAGTTGTTGAATAATAAATACATAATTCTAGAAGCATGAGAACCTGTTTTCCTGTCTGTGAATTAAATTATATCTACTTGTTTTCAACAAGTGACTGGTCATATAAGTATTCTACATATATACACAAACGGGTAATCAAGCAGAAGTAATGTGTCGGAGCAGAAATTGTTTCGGAATCACAATTAACAAATTAAGGAAATCTTAAAACAATTCCAGAATCGTTTTAAATGCTTTTAGGAAAACAAACAGCGGAACCGTACAGTGGAATATCCAAAATATTTACATATTAAAATCCATTTGAATGGAAAATCGAAATGGAAATGGAAATTTTCGGCAAATCAATCAATATCCCAATGCATCATGGCATCGTTTCTGGGGCTTGCAGGTCAATGGCATTTTGCTTGAGTGCATTCAATATAATATTTCGTATTTTTTCCCATGAAACGAGAGGAAACCAAGGAAAATAGAATATTCAATATTTTTCCATTTATCAAATTCATGCATCCATGCGTAAAGGGATGCAGAAGAGCAGCAGCAGAAATTATAGTCGGTCATTGATATTCGTTGCTATATACGAAAGTGAGCACACACTGTATTTATTCTTCGTATCACTGGTCTCATTTTGTAGTAAACTAAATTGAGTAAAATATTTGTTCAACATATCCAGTCGAGTACCCGTAATTGTTTATTGAAAAATTTAACAAAATTTTAAGGTGAACAAGTAAAAAAAAAAGCTAGAAAAGTTCATAAATTTCGGAATGGAATTAAATTTGCAATATTTCACGATGGGAATATTTATGCAAAAATATATTCCAAATTGGTTGCAACGAATTAAATAGTGGCAAAGGTTTTCCTATGATTTTATCATTCATAAAACTCGTAAATAAAAATGTTAAGTGCATTTCCCTATTTCTCTTTGACTTTGTTTCTTCAATCTCTGCATTTTTGTTTCTTCTTTTCGGTTTCCTCTCAATTACTGTTTATTCGTCAACTTTACAGCAGAGTCAGCAGAAAATTCTTGATTATTGCCTTGACATTTACCGAAACGTGAGACTGGCCCCAAAGAATTTCACCAGAGTTTCCCATGATATTTTATCTTGCTTGTACTTGTGTGACATGTATGTACACAAATTTATTCAATTTCACAAATAATTATGCTGATAAAGTCAGCGGCAGCAAGCCCACAATGATTATATCACTGGGCAGTAAAACAGTTAAACAATCCCATGGACTGACGCACCTGGAAAGTCACGTTAGTGCTACCCCACTTAAATGTTAAGCCAGGGCTGTTTAAAATCTTATCGCACCCTATGTCTGATATTGATAATTTATAATTAATAATGCAAACAAAGCACAAATGCTATCAGCGTGTTAAGGTAGCTCTTCAGTCCGTCGCTAACCATCTAAATTCGATGTGTAATGAGGTGATTTCCTCCCTCAAAGTACAAGGTTCATTTCCAGCAAGATGTCTGTGGGTCTGCCAGTCTGCTGATCATTATGATATTTATTTTTTAGCAGTCAGTTTGAAGGTAGACTTTGAAGCAATGACGTTTCGAGAGATACTTAATTTGAGTATGACTGTATTTGATAGAAGAGTCTTATCACCAGCTTAATGGCTATTTATAAGACCCCTAATGATGAACCGGATTTTCGACACCCAGTCGGTACATCTGCCTGGAGAAGCAGTAGCCTGTAATCTCTTGATAAGAAACAGCTCCATTGGCAGGGCCGGACTTGGTGGCTTATCAAAGCGTAAAAAAAGTGTGTGCTTCTACTTGAGCCACGTACATATGGTCATGGAACGAACTATGGCAAGGCAAGCGACTTATAGACTCAATCAATGACAACTGATGATTGGCCTACATGGTAATGCATAAATCTATTTGCATATAAGTATAACTAGTAAACCAGGAAATGCACGAGAGAAGCTACATACTGCAAATAGGAATTCAATTAAAAACAACTTACTTCAGGGCAATGCGCATCTGATCGCCCACTGCTATATCGAATGACATCTTGCTGTGGTCTCACGCTGCTCTATGGCCAATCGATTCCCTCCTGGGTATATATTGTGTATTGTACAATATATATATATATATATATATATATATATCGTGTTTGTAAAAGCGTGCCAAGCTATAAAATACAATCCGCAAGCTGTTGGAAATCCCAATGAAAATAAACGCAGAGCAAAACGCGTAACTAACCAAATAAAACAAAACAAAAATCTGTACAACAAACGGCTGGACCCGACAACAGGGCGACAAAGCCTGGCGCGAAATTTGTTTCTGATTTTTTTGTTCCCTTTACTTTTTAGGTTTTCGAATTTTTCTTATAGTTTCACAAAACACACAGAAATACAGAATGTCACATCACTTGTTGCTTGTTTTTGCTGTTGTTGTTCCACTTTCAGTTATTCTCTTTAATTGAAAAACTCAGCCACATATTGACATTGGCGGGATAGGGAGGGGCTTGAAGTTTTTTATATTCCAGCTCTGGGAGTAGCCTAAGGCTTTCGTTGCGTTTTGTTCAGGGGCTGGTCGGCAACTGAACATTTTCAAGTAAGCGCCGGCTAAGTTTAGTGTTTCGTCGCCGCTGTCGCCGCTGTTGCTGCTATTGTTGTTGTTTTTGTTGATGTTGATGATTTTTCCACTCATTTGCTCATTTCATGCCGGCTATGGGGTCGTATGAGTGATATTCTAGCTCTAGGTCTGACACTTGTGTGCGTGCGAGTTGGCATTGTGAGTGTGTGTGAGGGCTTTGCATAGCTGTATGAGAGGGCTATGCATAGCTGTGCGGCTTTTCCATGTGTTCGCGTGTGTCCATTGATTGTGTGAGGGCTTTTGCATGTGTTTCTGTTTCTGTGTCTGAGTTTTGCACTCAGAATGGAATGCCTGGGTCTGGTCGAGTGGATTCGCCTGCTGTCCGTGCTGGGCGCCGTTGTTTTGTTTAAACGTTATCGTTTTTGTTGCTGCTTGTTTTGTTTATTGTTTATAGCATATGCACCAGTGTCCGCCGTCCGTCCCGCCTATCAGCATTGCTTCTTCCTATTGTTATAATTATTGTTATTTGCCAGTGTGTTTGTTCTGCTTGAATTTCGGCTGAGCTTCGTGTTTATGTTTGCGGGAATTCAGAACATCTCAGCTAGCAACTGCGAAATCTATAAATTAAACTACATTTTCTACACAGTTTCTATGCGTTTCAATTAAACTAGATTACTGGAGCATTACAATTATTTTATTAAGTGCCATTGCGGTTACAAATAGACTGCCCTTAAGGCCAGGCATGATGGGTTCGCACTAAATAATGCAATTAACTAAGTAACTGGCGATACTGTCAGTAACTTCAATAATTACAGGCCATACGATTATACGAAATCGATAGAACAGCACAAAAACACTCCACAAATTTCTGGAGTCTCCGTAGAGACCATAGAATCGTACAATAACAAGGAAAAATCGATTTTTGTAGCTTCCTTCAATATAAAATATTTAAAGAAAACTATCACGAAAACTCCAAAAAATCTTTAATATCTAAAGCCACTCAATTTAATAGCTAACTCACTCAATAGTTTTCTAACTTAATACAATTTAAGCTATACAACTGTATAATAAATTATTTTATTGGGCAAAAAAACACTAAACAAACTGCCACTACCTCTACTTGAATGAAACGGGAAAATAATTCGCTAAATTATATCATTGTTTTATAGAATAGTCACTGCGCCATTTCCCGGTTCCACCACGCAAGCTAACGTGTTTGAATCAAGGTAACTGTATATTCAGCCAACTATATTTACTATATACTTGTACTTACATTTATTGCAACAATTTTTTACATATATTTTTTTCTGTATATGGCACTAATTGGTCAATTACTCGTCAAGTAGTTGATAGAGTTTACCTGTTGTCCGGAGCCACTCTGAAACTTGTTTATCTGTTAATTTATTGAGACCTTCATGGGCTCTTGGGCTTTTCCTGAGGGCTCATCACCTGATTTTAATGAATTTTCAATTAGATAAGTTGCACATGATGCAGTCGAAGGCACAGTCACATTAAATGTTAAATGATGGCCCCGAAAATGCCATTGGCAGTGAGAGTAGAGACCTGTGTCCAGCCTAGCCATAAATTATGGAATAAGCAACCCAACAGAATACAGAGAACATAACAATGCACATGCACTCTGTAGATACTCATAAATAAACGACTTCGAGTCAAAATAATCAGCATTAAACCTGTACTGTTAAATCTAGGATTAATAGATTTACGAATGGATTTTCTAGTTTATGGTTTTATGCAAATAATTTTGACAATTTTAATTTAGCAAATACGATTTTTCCCCCATTGACTGGTGACTCTTATGCTGGACGCTTCTCTGCATTATTTTTGGTAAACTCCTCTGCAGTCTTCATGAACTTCTTGTGATCGGTGACAAACTCCTCGGCCAGATCGACACGCAGCGGATGCTCTGGCTCTGGTTCATGCAAGATGCCCACAAGAGCCTCAAGAATTTTCTCAGTGCTCGTTGTGGGCTTCCAGTTGTCAGAGTTAATGATGGGCAAGCACACCAGACCCTTCTCGTCGATGTTGGGATGATAGATCTTCGTTTTGAATATGACCTTGGGTGGCTGGAAGGGATACTCGTCGGGGAAGTTCACCTCAATGCGAAAGGCACCCTTGTTATAGGGCGGACGCTCTGGCACCAACAGGATCTTCCACACCATAATGGATTCATCGCTGGCCTGAATGTTGCACCAAGTCTTCTTTTTGCCAGACTCAAGCAGATCAGCAAGCTCCCGAGTCAATCGACGTGAGGCACTCATTTTTGGAGGGTAAAAATGTATATTTTTGTCAAAAAGATAAGAATTTCTAAAGTTAAAAGAGACGAAAAGGCGAAAAGGTGTTTGCTAGTCAGAGAATAAATTATAACTGGAAGGAGACTAGAACAAAGTTGTTATGTTGAGGATAAGCTAACGATTCCTGACAGCAAAGTCAAGGAAGATTCTTTTGTAGAAAGAAACACAGAAAGAAATTGCTAATTTAAGCATGTGCAACAATCCATTTAACTATATTTGTTATATCTGTCTATATCAGATACAAAAGTGCTAAAAGATATAACCATCTTCCTCAGAAGAGTAGCTCCTTATTGTCAGCGTAGAGGCTCTGCCACACCTTCAGTTTGGGCCACTCGGGCAATTCAATATGCTTCAGTTCATCGCTTATGTTCAGACACTTGAAGACCTCATCGGATTTGCGCACTGGATCCCATGTCAGCGTATCCATTCCATTGATCTTCTCACTATACGGATTACCCGTGGCCGCAAACTGTGTCCATATGCCAATCGTTCTCTCTATGTTCCGGTACTCCCTGCTGTCCTTGGGCAGACGGCGCGCCAGGAGACTGCTGAACTGATAGCCCAAATCATCGGCATGGCTCACACCCTTAACCCCACGACCCAGGCGCATAATTCTATAGGGGAATATAATCTCTTCGGAGTCAAAATCATAGCGATAAAAGAAGACAGGAGCGCCAGCGGCATGGGCATGACGAGAGTGCACCACACGCAGGGCAGGAAAGACAAAGTAAAAGATCGAACAGACCTAAAAAGTAGAGAAATTAATTGCTTGTCTAAAAATATATATTTATATAGGAAAAACTTACATCCATATAGTTATCAGCGGTGGCGGAATCGCCCGTACGATGTGCGTCTCGTATTTTCGAGCCCCACAACTCAATTGTTTCCTTTGCGGGTTCCTTGGCAAGCAATTCACGTGGTATAAAAGGAGTGCCAGCATCCACTTGCTGAACGGTTTGCGGCAGTATTTTGACCTCTACAAAAATCAAGAAAAAATATTGATTTCGTAGATTGAATTTCTTTAAAAAGTAGCGCCTACCTGGCACCCACAGTAGACCCTCATAGGAAGTATTTCCTATCAGCATGGGAATGGTGTTGCTCCAGGCGGTCTTCATCATTTCGATGGGTGCTTTGGGCACCACACAATCAGCGGTTGCATACGGCTCCAGCGAAGGGCCAAAGGGAAACATAATTTTATTCATACGATCCTCCAACGTGAGGACATTCTCCTCGACACGTATCAAATCTTTTGCCTTGACATTCTGCAAAAAGTCCAGCACATCCTTGTCTTTATCCTCGCCCTTGTAGCCAGCCAGTTTTGCTATTCTGTACGGATTGTGGGTAATGTCTCCATTGTAGGCCCAAGGTGCGATGGCACTGCCCGACTGCAGGATGCCGCGATGGAAGAGGCCCTGCGTCTGATCAGTGATCATCATGTAGTGGGTGGACGCACCTCCGGCACTCTCTCCAAACACTGTGATGCAGTTCGGATCGCCACCAAAGTTGGCGCAATTATTTTTGATCCATTTGAGAGCCATCACCTGGTCCTTCAGTCCGGCATTGCCTGGAACATTCAGTTCGGGCGACTTTAAACTAAGAAAACCTGAGACAAAAATAAAGAAAAGCTAATTAAAATTCTTCTTGAAGTTGGTTTTCGCTTACCCAAAGCTCCCAGACGATATTGAATGGTCACCAGGACCACATCCTCCTTGATAAAGTAGTCTGGTCCATACCATTCCCTATTGGCTTCACCAATGATGAAGCCACCGCCATGTATCCACACCAGAACAGGACGTGGCTTGTCGGGGGTGACCTTAAGAGAGATATACGTATATGTATATGTATATGTATATGTATATGTATATGTATATGAATATGTATATGTATATGTATATGTATATGTATATGTATATGTATATGTATATGTATATGTATATGTATATGTATATGTATATGTATATGTATATGTATATGTATATGTATATGAGATATTTGTGGGGCAATAATCATGGCAACGCAATGAAATATTAATTTCTACTCACATTATTGGTATATACATTCAAATAGAGGCAATCCTCAGAGCCCTCTACCTTATCCATGACAAAGTGCACCTGGACGGACTTATCCCTGGCCTGACTACAATCCCTTTCCCCCTCCCATGGGGTGGGTCGCTGTGGGGACCTGAAACGCAGCTCACCCACGGGTGGCTGGGCATAGGGTATGCCCTCGAAGCTGAAGTAGGGCACATCGTACATGGACAGACGCTTCACTCCCCTCACTTTGCCATACTCGGTGTCGGCAACAATGGTCTCATTGGTGGTCTGGCGATACTGCTGGAGTTTATGCTCGATGGTTCTGCAAAATGTACAAGGGTGTAAGTAGTAGTATGAATTTACTGCGTACTAGTGTACTATAATTAGCATAACAATATTGGATCCGGTGGGAAGATAATTTGATATTTTTGTCACAGAGTCAATTATTTGAATTCGTTCTCAAAGCCCACATTCCGGAGCTGTCGGGGCTGGGTGCAGACTGCATGCATTGCATTAAATTTAAATTGTTTTGCTGTCTGCCCATCCCTCAGGCAGACACACACATCATACAGTGGCAGCTCTCCAGCTTCTGGCTCAACCGACTGTGTTTTGTGGTCCACCTGCTAACCCAGGCACGCCTGTCAGTGATAAATTAACAGACACTCTACTCTGCTGACTATAGTTGCGGCCCAAAATTTAAAGCCACCAAAGAGAGTTCCTGGAGAGTTGCTAAATCATTCTGTGAGAGGATATTGCCTACCCTTATGGACTCTACAACACCACAAAATAGTACATAATCTTGTGAATATATTATAACCATAAGCCATTGTTCCTACGCTCTTATCAGCAGCTGTCACTTTGTTATCACTCCACGGAGAGAGCTCTTAAGTAGACTTAATTGCTTTACTTTTATTTAAACAAATGAAAATGCAATGATCCGAATCTACATATACATACGCGTACTGTGGAGGTTTGTGCGATGTATAAAAATAAATATTAATTGGTAATTATTAGCCAGCACACAAATTATATTATGTGTACATGGAAATATTAATAATCAAGTTAATACGAAAAATTGTTCATAATTATAAGCAGCCCGCACGTCAGACAGAGTTATTTTTAATTACATTACAAAATAAAATCACACCTATTTTAGCTGTCAAACTGATAAAATTTTAATTTGCCAATTAAATGGCAAAGGAGCGGATGGAGGGGAAGAAAACATACTCCAAATACGATAATCGACTTCAATGTCAAGGTTATAGACTGATAAGAACTTTAGGAGACTGTGGGACTGTTATAACTTGAACAATTAAATAATATTCATTTTGAATTCACCCGTTTATCAACTGATTGCTTTGTTCTTGGGAATATTCCGATTTTCTGGGTGCAGCTATAATGAAATTCTATTAACAGATAAACAACATCTTTAGTTACAAAACAAAGTAGCCAAGAATATAATATATAAGCCCATTTGTTTATGCCAAGTCATAACTATATCGATTATAGAAACAGTTGCGCAATTAAGGCTAAGACCGTATGGTCGTAAATCTTACACGTTAAACTGATTCCAGCAATAAGTAAAACAATTTTATGAGTTAATGCTAATATGCGACGTTTTTACAGTCGCAGATATAAAAACTTTTTCGCATTATTGGAGAAAGTTTTCGTATGATTTTTGGGAATTATACTGAAATGGTGGGATTTATGGATTGGATTGGATTGGATTTATGCCTGAATGATTCGAATAAATAATACTATTTGCTACATTTGGTTTCAATTCTTTTTCAATGGGAATTGTTTTAGCCGTTTGCTACCTTAAATTATGGATTGTTCTTCAGTCCCCAAAAATGCTCCAATCTTTTTTAAAAATGTTAAAACTCAAATCTATTACTTATATTTTTCTAGTTTCCCATACGAAATACATTTTTTAATCTAACTAATGTTTCCAGCCCTAAAATGCCACTAAATGATGACCTAAGTGACTTTCTACATTCGATATGCCCTCCAGTTTGCGTCATGCTTCAACGTTTAATCTTTTGAAAGCGCACAAAAAAAACCTCAATTAGATCACTAAATATTATTAATTCCTGCCATCCCACGGCTTTAGTCATGCCTGACAAATAATGAATAACGAAAATTGTTAAAAAGCGCCGATCAGACAAATGAACACGAAGCCGCACAACAAAAATGACAAAAGCTGACCGCAAGAATAGCAACAATTGCAACAATAATACGTGTAATGTACGCTCTCCCGACATTAATAAAGAATAATTAAATATATTAACAACTATTTGGATTAAGGTCAAACATTCGCTACTCACTTGAGGCGCCATCGAAGCCGCTCCACAAAGCCGAGGTTCTTGTTCATTTTCGGCGGACGGGGTCTAGTTAACCATACACGAACCGATCAGTTATTTTTCTATAATTAGATCTGCCAACGGATCCACGATCTGAAAAATGCGTTCCGTTGCGTTCCAGCTACAAACTGAAACTGAAATTGAAAACAAACTTTTTCATATGGAATTCCAGCCGGCGACGAGAGCGCGCCAGCCAGCCAGCAAGCAGAATAGGCGAAGACAAGTGGCGAAAAAAAAGAAAAAATATACTACATTAACACAAATATCGAAATACAAATTAAACACAAAAAACAACATATACAGAAGAAAGAGAGGAGAAAGAGTGGGGAAGAGAGAGAGAGAGAGAGAGAGAGAGCAGAGGAGAGGAATATGTGTGGCAAAAAACAGAAATTATATTTTCAAGTGCGGAGCCGGAGAGATAAACAGAAAACAGAACCGGAAAAAAGAAGCTTTGAGTCGAAGTATTGTATACCGTAGGACATGGTCAACGAATGTAGTTACATATGACAATGACCTTTGGTGGAATTATCTTTAGCAATAAAATATTTGTGCTCACAAAATGTTGATTGTTACTCCACTTATAAATAGATCGCAGATAAATTCCTCTTCTTAAATTCGGCATACTCTCTGCTATTGCTATAGGGTATCGAAAAATCACAGTAACAACAGCCGATCATTGAGCCGTGGAGAACGTGAAGATGGAAGCGTGGGCTGGCTGTCCGAGTGGCGCTGTGGAGAGCTTTGGTTTTTGTGGGGCTGGCTGCGGCGAGGGGCACAACACCTCTTTGCACGCGCCCCAGGCGAATGCATAATGAATCAACACACTGCACAAAATCCAAATATTTATTAGCTAAGCATTTTTTTGCTTCGAGTCTTAGCTGAGCTCAGTCGAAAAGCCAAGCCGGTTGTCGGTTAGATTGGGGTGAGATCCCACTGAAGAGTGGGTCACCGTCAAAGGCAGCACCAAAAGCAACCACCACTGTGATCGTGCCGGCGAAAAAAGTGCGAGAAATGTAAACAAAACGAAACAATTACATGCATATATGTATGTACCGGACTCACCGTTCGGTCATAAAGCTTGGTCGATGGCACAAAAGCTGTGAAAAGCTTTGCAAATAGCTTTAAAGCGCGAACTTGGACAAGTATTATCCCCTGAGAGTGTATTATAATTCAACTAAAGTTTGAAAATTAAATGATTAATGATATTAAAATGAGGAAATTTTGATGGTAAACTAAAGTTAATTAAAATAATCAGAGAACACTTTTGGGAACATCAATATTCCCTTTATTTTCCCCCTTTTAACCACCATAAAGTTGAATGTCATCTTCGTACAGACGATTCCACACTTCTAGGCCATCCTTTTCGTATTGCGTTATAAAGTCCAGATCGTGTCCTATATTCAATGCCCTATAGGGCAACTTTGCGGTCACTGGAGTCCACTCCTCCGACTCCGTTTCAACACAGTTGGGATCTCCAGTCTTGGCAAAGGCTGTCAGAATGCCGACCATCCTTTGTATAGTGAGATATTCAGCAGAGTCCAGCGGCAGCTTCTGTACGCCCCTCTTGTGGAAGACGTAGGCCATGTCATCAGCATGACAGACACCCCGCTTGATGTCGTCGCCGCATAATTTATTTCGCACTAGATTGAAACTGGGAGAATCAAAATCGAAGCGGTACAGATAGGTGGGTGCCTGGGCATGGGACAATCGAGAGCGCACCACGCGATGCAGACCGTGCCAAAATAGTTTATAGCTAAAAAGCTGCAAGAGAGGGATATGAGAAAGAGATCCAAGCCAGAAATCAAATGTTTACTTACATCCAGAAGCTGTGTCACATTGTTTTTGGAAATGCCTCGTGGTCCATAATGATATTTAACGAGCTCCTTAGCTCTTGCCTCACGTTCCTCATCGATCATCGTGACGAACAGTTCGTGGGGCAGCACCAGCGCTGGTTCTTGTTTGAAAAGATCTAGCATAAAGCCATTGTTCAGCTTGAAGAAGGGATAATAGACCAAGCCCTCGAAGGATGTGCCGCCCAGCAGCAGGGGCACCTTGACGGACCAAGCATCTCGCATCATCTCCAGATATGGCTGCTGCACCAGACCCTTCTCGTACTTGGCCTCCTCCACTCCGGGCACAAAGGGATACAGAAAGCCAAAGCATCGATCGTGAAAGGTGTAACACTTATGGGCATACTCCAACAATTTCTTGGCCTCCACCCAGCGAAGGTACCGCAGCATATCCTTCTCCCTGTGAGGTCCCACGTAACCAGCAGACAGCGCCAATTGCGAGTACAAACATGTTCGATCGGGTATCTGTACCCAGGGACTCAGCATAGAGCCAGACATCATGACGGCCTTGTGGAAGAGGCACTTGGCCTGCGGCAGGCACATCATAAAATGGACACCCACAGCCCCGGCACTCTCGCCAAAGAGCGTGATGTTCTCCGGATCACCATTGAAGTTCTGGATATGCTGTTTGATCCACTTGAGGGCCAGCAGTTGATCGTGGAGTCCCGCATTGCCAGGGACATTCGATTCGATGCTTGGCAGACTGAGAAATCCAAGAGCGCACAGTCGATAGTTGAAGATCACGTACACAATGTCCTTGGACATCAAATAGTCTGGACCGTACATCTTTCGAGTGGCACCACCGGTGCGAAAGGCACCACCATAGATGTAGACCATGACGGGAAGAGGAGGCTTGGTTTTATCAAACTAGAAGAGAGAGAGATAACTGGCAGGGGCGAATTCAGATATGCTGATCCATCACTAACATGCTTGGTGTAGACATTCAAGTAAAGGCAATCCTCACTGCCAATGGTTTTGCCTCCATGGAACTCCATCTGCAAGGGTATTTCCCTCTCCTGTTGCGCATCCAGTTCCTGGTCAGTCCACGGCTCTGCGGGCTCTGGGGCCACAAAGCGCAGCTCGCCCAGCGGGGGCTTGCCAAATGGAATGCCCTCAAAGCTGAAAAACGAATCGCCATAAATGCCACACTGTCGCCGACCCTTTACACGGCCCATGGGCAGATCTACAATCTTGGTTTCAGCACAACTACGTTGGGCAGTGAGACGTAGCGACCGCTTGACAACCTGCAGATACTTGCCGGGGGTAGGTCTCGACACACAAAGTTTCCACATTTTAAAATCGAATTAATTTAAACTTTTGAAAGAAGTTCCAAAACCTAATTTGGTGGGCAACTGAGATCAGCATTGCTTATAATTATAGTGAATAGATTTATATCTTAATACAGCAAATGAACACTACATTTTTGGGGGCACCAGTGTCACAGTGTCCTCCTGCTCCTCAATCGCCTCCAAGTAGTTTATTTTCTGTTCTTTGTTCTGTGCCTTGATGGATTTTTCTTGGTGCTTGGGCACCAGTGTCAAATCGAGCAGGTCACATTCAGCACAGCTGCAGTCAGGGTCATGCACCTCCTCAAACATTGCCAAGAACTTCAAGTCCTGTTTTTTCTTCTTTAAAAAACCTTCCAAATTTGAAACTGGATTTTGTTCCTTAAAAGGTTCTTCTTTTGGATCTTTCCCGTTGGGTGGACGACTTGGGGGTGCAGCCTCCTCGGCCAAGGGTTCGGCCTCACAAATCGGTTGTTCAGCCTCCTCATCCTCAAGTACGGCATCGACTGCCTCTTGTTGCTCTTCTTGGATCTGAACAACTCCCATTTTGATCAGAAACGCATAAAAAGCTGTCTTCTTTAACTCATACACATTTGGCAAAGTAAACAGCACAACATGACCTATGAATAATATAAAAAATTTAAATTCTAAGGGGAAAACTGGGGTGGGGAAAAACTCACCGAACAGCAGCAGGGTCATGAAATTGAAATAGTCCCCCATCATATTGATAAAACAGAGAATGGCCATAAGCTTCAGCGACTCGTGCAGATCCTTCACCAGGAGCAGTTCAATCATTTTGTTAACGAATGCATTCAACTTGACGACAGCCACGCCTGTCAGATGCATGACCTCCTCTTGGGGTATGTTGCAGGTCATCAACACATTGAAACGATAGGAATAGTATTCCTCCTCGTTGTTTCTTCTGTTCCACAACTCTATCACCTCAACGAAGAAGCGATATCCCAAGGCGACGAGGATCAAGGCAATGCCCAGCATGCTCACCACACTAATGGCCGAATGTTGCATAATGTCCACCAACAGGATCAGAATGCTTGTAAAAACCAACAGTGTGCGGGAAAAGTTTCGCCACAGCACAAGGTTCTTCAGTTCCTGCAGCATCTGACCAGTGCCAAAATCCTCCTGGGGGCGTGGACTACTAGAAACCGCACTTGGGGTAGCCATTTTGTAAATGTTCTTATTAAACACAGAAAAAAAGGATAGAAATTTAAATTCTTTTTGATTCAGGGAAAACAATTTTAGCCAGGCCAAGTTTAGATTTTGAAACCAAAATGAGAAATGGGAAAAAGTCCAGGCGTAAACGTAGTAGAAAAGAGTACTAGATGATAATTTTCGGTACATCTATCGATAAAATTGATTTTAAATTTGTTAGAATGGAGAACAGTGTTTCCCGGCACAAACACATACATACACAAAGTGTGACCAAAGCGATCATTTACATGCAGAAAACTATACAGAATATTACCAAGTAAGAGCCATTACATTTTTAACAGTTTTTAGCACAATTTTAAACTAATTTACATCGAATTGTCCCATGCGGCTATGGATCACTAGAATTTTACTTGGATACAATGAATCCTTATATTAAATTCTCTGGCTTGTAGATGCTATCCCACACTTGAAGTTTCTCATATTCCGGGAGATCCACAATCTTCACATCGTCGCCTATGTTGATCACACGCTTGGGATCGGACCTTTTCGCTGGCTGCCAATCCACTTCGCTAATTTCGGAACAATTGGGATTGGAGTTTGCTGCAAAGGCAGTCCACATGCCAACCATTCTCTGAATGGTGCGATATTCCGCTGAGGATTTCTCCAGTTTCCAAGCTTGAGAGTTACGGAACAAATATCCCAGCTCATCGGCATGGGAAACGCCTTTCTTGATATTGTCGCCACAGAATTTTGTACGAAAGAAATTAAAGTCGGGGGAATCAAAATCAAAGCGATAGAAATATGTGGGTGCACTGGCGTAGGCGAGTCTGGCCTGCAAAGTGCGATTGACGCCATGCCAGAAGATCTTATATGAATAATACTAAAAGGGAGATAAAGATAAAGATTTAATAAACATAAAGATATCTGATAGATCTTTACTCACATCTAGCATATTCATAAAGAGTTCAGAACTGGGTTTGGCATCGCCAAAAGTAATCTTGAACATCCTCTGACTGTACTCCAGACTCTCCTGCTCCGTACTTATTAAACGCACATCATGTGGCACCATTTTCAGGGGATCATCGTTTAAGGTGTCCAAAGCCTTGCGATTGGCCGACACAGCGGGGTACATAAAGAGACCCTCGAATGATGTGCCACCCAGCATGGCAGGCAGATCGTTGGTCCATGCCTCGCGAGCCATTTCCAATGGGGATTTGGGCACCACACAATCCTCACCCACATACGACTCTATCGTGGGCCCAAACGGAAATAGCATGCCATTACGGCGATCTTCTGGCGTAATCAAACTGTGGCGAACCAGTTCCTGTGCCGGCACTCCGAGTAAATGTTCGAGCACCTGAGCATCCACATTCTCTCCCGTGTAGCCATGATGTTTGGCCAAGCGATAGGCAAAGTCCGACCTTGGGGTGTTCGACCAGTAATTGTGAACTGTACCCGACATTGGTATGGCCTTGTGGTAGAGTCCCCGTGTCTGCTCTGTGCACATCATGAAGTGGGTGGAGCAACCGCCTGCACTCTCGCCGAATAATGTTATGTTTTCGGCATCGCCATTAAAGTGGGAAATGTATTGCTTGACCCATCGCAGAGCCAGCACCATATCCTTGAGCCCTGCATTGCCTGGAACTTTGAGGCTGGGATCCGTGAGCGAGAGAAAGCCTGCAGCAAAGAGTATTTTGTGTTGGCTTTAAAAGGATTCTTCCTCTTAAATTTGACTAGTAGTCATGACAAATATTAACCATGGTAATGATGATTGTACAACAATCGTGAGGGTTTGAACCCACTAGATAACATGAATCACAGATAAGATACCGTCCCTTTCACTCACCCAAACAGTCCACACGATAATTAAATGTCACCAAGACAACATCTTTGGCCATAAAATAATCAGGACCATACAGCTCGCGTGTGGCCTCGCCAATAGTGAAGGCCCCGCCATAAATGTACACCATGACCGGCAAAGGTTTCGCACTCTACAAAACAAAACAAAAACATCAATTATCATAATCAGTCGATCGATTGTAGGTTTCTTTCTCTCACTTTCAGCTGCTTGGCATAGACATTCAGGTACAGGCAGTCCTCGTCGCCACTGACCACCTGTGTCATAAAATTTTTCTGCACCGGCTTCTCCGCATAGTGGCTGCAGTCCAGCACACCACTCCATGGCTCTGCGGGCACGGGCGCCCTGAAACGCAGCTCTCCAACCGGTGGCTTTGCAAAGGGCACACGCTCGTAGCTGTAGTATGAATCATCGTACAGAGTTTCACGCTTCACGCCCTTTATCTTGCCCAGCGGCAGCGTAATTTCATATTCATCTGCTCTGTTGGAGTTAAAATCAAATTTATTTAAATGAAAAGCTCTACAAAACTTCCATACGCAACTTACCCTTTACTCATCGTTGAGGTGCTTCAATGTGCCTGCCGCGCGTGTTGTCTGACAACTGAAACAGAAATAAATGAATTAACAAAACCAAAAAAAAGCTACACAGCTCGGGTCGCGAAAAACGTGTCCACTGTTAGAGCTTTTTCGCTTGTGCAGTTATCTGGAATTAGTTGTGGTGCTACAGGGGGTCTTATCAGGCTAAGCGGTTACATTCGAGCTGGTTTTTGTTTTTCCAGAGATAATGTGAGTGTTTTACTTTTATAAAACAATTGTTTCTGTTTAGATTAGATTTCAAAACAATGATTCGTGAACTTTAAAGTGTACAAAGCATTGAAGACAGAACCAAATGAGGTGCACTGCTGGACTACGCTTACAGTTGCGAAATTATAACGTTTGGATAATTCTTAAAAGACTTAAAGTAAAGGAATATCGATATTTAGTCATATTAATCCAGGGCAAAGCCTTTTATGTGCAGTAAGACAAGGGAAAGGCGCTGCTGCAAGTCGCGAAATAGCATTTTAGGAGGTTTTACAAAGAAATTAATAAAAAGATTAGATAGATTAGCTATTTGAATTCATTTTAAAGTAAATGCTGAGCTCTTTTATTGGCCAAAAACTAATAAAAATAGAGACATAGCTCTCTGCATAGTTGTTGCTGAAGTTCACATTAAGATAACCAATACGCATCGCACTCTGTAGCTGTACTCTAACATTTCCGAGGTACAAATTATGTTCGTGTTCTCCTATCTTAACCATCATATTAAAGATTGCTCTACAGTCTAGGTCAATGCAAAAAGTGTTGGATATAAACCAAGAAATTTAATTATCTTTTAAACAAAAAAAACCAAAAAAATTATTGCAGACACCAATTAAAATATATTTTATACCTTAAACATACACTCAAAATCTACTTTACCCAAAGCTCTTATATTGCACATATTATAAAGAAGTAATAGTAAATAGTATCTATTGATATAATATGGATTTAAAAATATTCCAGAGACACACACACACACACCCACAAACGAAAATTGATAAGCGATCGATGGTCAGCAGATTAGATTTGGGGTTTATTGGGCATCTAAAACAGAGTCACGCCCGCCTGTTCGTACAGGCGGTCGTAAAACGTTAATTTCTGCCGCTCTGGCTGTGGCATAAACTTCAGTTCTTCACTTATATTGAGGATCATGCGTGGTCCGAATCGTGTGACTGGCTTCCATTCCACCAAAGGTTTGGTTAGCTCTGCGTTGGGATCAGAGGTGGCGGCAAAGTTTACGAGCATTGCAACCATGCGACAGATAGTGGTGTACTCCGGTCGGGATTTATCCAATTTAAATGTGGATGGCAGCACATAGATGTATCCCAGCTCATCCACATGACTGACGCCGCGCTGCTCCTTTCCGAAGAACCGAATACGGTACAGATTAAAGTCCGGTGAATCAAAATCAAAGCGATAAAGATAGGTGGGTGCCTGTCCATACGACAATCGTGCCAGCACCAAACGTTCCTGCGAGTGCATCATATTGTGGGTCCAGAGGTGACTCAATGCATCCGTGTGCTCGATGGACAGTCGATGACCATGCGCCTGACAGAAATGATCGAGCAGTGACTGGCCCAGCTGTCGCCTCTGGCCGGGATCACAGCGATTGAGCAGAGTCTGTGGCAGAACACACTCTGGATGCTTTTGTAGCTCCTGCAGAGAGTTTGCATCCCTTAAAACCGGATTAAAGGAGAGTCCTTCGCCGCTGTTGCTTCCCATAATCACGGGAATGCGATTGCTCCACGCCGTACGCTGCAAGATAACAGGTTCAGACAGCAGCACCGCCTGGGGAGTCGCATAACCCTCCACTACCGGCACAAAAGGCATCATGCGACCCTCCGCTTTTTCCGCTGGCGTCCAGAAGTTTGCAGAGACCACTAGTTTTGGATCGGCTGCAGCTATAAAGTCAAAAACTTGGGCATCGATGTTCTCGCCCTCGTAGCCCAAATGCTTGGCAAGACGATATTCCATATTGGGTAAACGATTTAGCTCTGGGGAGAAGCCAGCCATAAGCACGGCCTTATGGAAGAGACCCTCGGTTTGAGGTGTGGCCAGCAGCATTTGCACGGCCATGCTGCCACTGCTATGGCCAAAGACGGTAATTCTCTCAGGATCGCCATTAAAATTCCCAGCATTTGCTTTAATCCATTTGAGAGCTAAAATTATGTCCTTCAGGCCAGCATTTCCGGGAATCTCCAGCGATGGATCCGCAAAGGAAAGGAAGCCTATAAAGGAAGAGACATTAGAGATGCCTCGCCTTGGAGCTCAACTCACCCAATGGACCTAAACGATGGCCAATGCTTATGTGAATGACATTCTCTCGCATAAAATAGTCCGGTCCCCAGGCGCGCCTTGAGGCATCCCCACCCTTGAATCCTCCACCATGGACATAGACCATCAGTGGCAAGGGCTTTTCGCTTTTAAGCTAAATAAAGAATTGCTTAAGCCAGAATCCTCTGATGTTAAACCACAATTTGTCACCTTTTTCACAGAGATATTCAGATAGAGGCAATCCTCCGAGCCCTCCACTTGCTTCGTATAGCTGCTCACTTGGATGCACTTATCCAGCGGCTTGCTGCAGTCCCGAATGCCATGCCAGGGCTTCAGATCGTGAGGTTCTTTGAAGCGCAAGGTACCCAAAGGTGGAACAGCGTATGGTATGCCATCAAAAGCATAGAACTCCTCCTCATCGTAGAGAGCTTTCAGCAGCACACCACGCACACGGCCATGGGTTGTCTGCACCAGTGGGGCGGTGGTTTCACTGCTGCAAAAGATGAAAGAAAAATGGATGTACTAGGTGTACGATTTAATGGTTTATGAATATACTTACTATTCGGACATTCTATCCGCATGCCAACAGCCTCAAGCATACACTGAAGCCCCCTCTTCAGAGTCCATAACATTATCGAGCAAGCGGATTGAGATAGCAGCAGCAGCTTATCAAACTTAAAATGTACTGATCGCTCTCTCGCTCGTATCTCAAAACAGCACACAAACAAACCAGAGACAAGAGGCTATGGTGTGGAGCGGGGTCCACTATTTGGACAGACTTTTAATGCACTTGGAATTTCTACAAAACATAGGAAAAACTCATTTAGTCTTTGATTTTGCAGATACTCTCCCACACGCTCAGCTTCTGCAGCTCTGGCAACTCAATCATTTTGATGCTGTCCGAAATATTGAGGCACTCCACCGTCGACTGACGGCTGTCCAAGGGCAGCCATTCCTTGGTGCGTGGCAGCTGCTCAGCAACTTTCGGGCAATTAGGATTCGAGCTTCTAGCAAAGCTTGTGACAATATCAATCATTCGTTCGATGGTTAGATATTCGGGTGTATGCTTGTCCAGTTTCCAGGCGAAGCTGCCAAACCATAGATACGAATGATCGTCCACATGGGCCACACCACGGAGCTTGTCGCCCACATACTTGATGCGCTGATGATTGAAAGTAGGCGAATCGAAATCAAAGCGGTAGAGGTAGGTGGGAGCACAGGAGCAGGTTTGACGCAGGCGTGAACGGATTACCCTCAGAATGGGCAGCCAAAAGACCTTGTAGGAGGCGTACTGCAACCCAAACCAAAGAAATAATGTTCTGCAGATCAGCAATAACAGATATTCCCTTACCTCGCAGTAGGCCAACACTCCCTCCGGCGACATGGCTAGAGCGCTCTCCCCGAAATGCAACGCCCGCAGACGCTGGCCCAAGCTTCGTGCCATAGTCCGGGGCCGGGCGCGCTTCTCCTCCCGCGGCAGCATATGCTCGGGCTGATCCTTCAGACTGGTCAGCAGATAGGGTGCCACAAACACGCGAGCATACATCAGGAGGCCCTCAAAGGAGGTGCCACTCATCAGCAGTGGAATCTTGTTGCCCCAGGCAGTGGACAGCAGCTCAGACGGCGGCTTAGGCAGCACACAGTGTTCCGTTTTGTAGGGTTCCACCATTGGCCCGAACTGGAACAAACAATCGTCCATATGCTCGGCCTGACTTAGGAGATACGGCTTCACGAGCTGCTCCCCAGGCAGGGCTTGCAGATAATCCAGGATCATGGCATCGGTGGCGGTATTCGCATTCTCCATTCCCAGATTTCCAGCCAGACGCTGCGGCATGTCGGTTATCGGGCATTGGGCCCAGGTACACAGCACATTGCCCGACTGCAGAATGGCCTTGTGAAACAGTCCCTCCGCCTTGGGATTCAGCATCAAATAATGGACCGAGGCTGCTCCGGCGCTTTCTCCAAACGCCGTCACGTTATTCGGATCCGCATTGAAGCTGGCAGCGTTCGCGGTTATCCATTGGAGACCCAGCACCTGATCCTTGAGCCCAGCATTGCCCGGCACGCCCACGGCTGGATCGTTGAGAAGGAGAAAGCCCAAGGGTCCGACTCGATAGGAGATTGTGACCACAACCACATCCTGCATCATGAAATAGTCGGGGCCGTGCAGGTCAGTGGTTGGATCGCCCTTTTCAAAGCCGCCGCCAAAGAAGAACACAATCAGCGGCAGTGGTTTTGCTGACTTCAGCTGCAAATAAGAGTGAATCATGCACTATCTACTACAAAAGCATAGAGAGAAAACTCCCTACCTCCTTGGCATACACATTCAAATGAAGAGAGTCCTCGACGCCTTCCAGCTTTTTGCTGTAATGATTGAACTGCAGCGGCTTTGGGCCCTGCGACCTGCAGTCCAAGGGCTCCGTCCAGGGTGTCACCGCCAGCGGAGCCATAAAACGTAAACGCCCTACCGGCGGACGGGCATACGGAATGCCCTCGAAACTCACGTACTCGTCGCCATAGACGCCCGTGCATCGTCGCCCCACCACAGGGCCGCTCTCTGTCTGCACCAGAATGCTACCATCAGATCTGCAAAGATTCCCGGCTGTTTGAATCCAAAGAAAACTGTTGAACAGTACTCACCTCTCCATGTCTAGCGGTCGAATAAAAAAACTTGACACTTTAGCGCCTTTTATCTAACGAAATGCCCACATTTATGGCACTTTTTTTATCGCGCAATGAGAGAGCGGTCTGGCTAGCAAAAAACAACAACAAGAAGAAAGACGACCGCACAATTTCAGTGAGACAGCTGATATTTCATGCTTTGCTTGCTTGCTCACAAGAGCTTTGTATACTATATGTGACTTTTGGTTGTTTGCATAGTATTTGTTTATTATTTTGTTGAGAAGCGCTGCGGCTGGCGGGCGATTTTAGCGTGACTGCGACGCCGACGGCTTGTGCCGTTATAAACAGAGCTTCCAACTGCGTGGCGGGTTGGCCAGGGCTCCTGTAACACTAATGTTTTCTCGTATTTTGTACACTTAAATAAAAGTCGATTGAACACATATTTCATTTCAACACCATTAAATAGCAAGATATTACAATTTATATTATATATGGCAAGCATAATTATTTTGGTACTTTTGCAGCCCTGGTAAAGTGCTGTTTGTGTAAAGAAAATATAGAAAATAAAAACTAACCGGGGGGATTGACCATTTGAACAGCATTAAAATGAATCCTGATGATCTCCTCCCACATCTTTAGCTTAAGGCACTCGATTGGGTCGTCTGCTAATGGCTGCCACTTAATCGTCGGACGTATCGAATCCACGCAACCGGGCTGGAATAGATTCATACATATGCACATACATCCTGAAGCTCAGACATATCCTGCTATTTTATTTTGTTTTGTCCTCAAGCATGGTATTGTTGTTAGCAGGGCTGTCCAGTTTGACGTCCAGGTCTATTAAAACTAGCACATGTACCATAATCATGTAAGTATGTTTGTATGTTTGAATAAATCTTTGAATATTCTTCCATCTTAAAAGCATTTAATTATAAGTACATATGTACATAGTTTAAGAGGAAAAAGACTTACATATATTTCCAAACTGCAATTTTCTTCTTATAATGCAGCCCTCGTATTTGATCTAACGTTTTACTGTTATTAACAGAGCTGTGACAACAATCCAACAACAACGTGCCGTTATTGACAGCGCTGCAAAGTGCGATTCTTGGCGAGGGCTGCAGTGACACGGTAAGATTGATACGTATTTGAAATATGTACAGCTTTAAATCTCATAAGTACGCTTATTAGATGACTTGGTAGTCCTGCATCAATATAAAAAACATTTCAAGAACTGCAAAATTTCATTGATGTGCCAGCCCTGGTACATCGTCCAACATATACATACATATATAAAATATCTGCCGTTATTATCAGTAGTTTGCTACGATACCAGGGAGTGACAGTTGTCTCAGTGAATTTCCGAAAACTTAAGTTAATTTAGCATGATGCCTATGAATACATATTTTAAATGCAATTACTTATAAACACAAACATAAATTTTAACTTATTTTGTAGGATTGCACTGCAGCCCTGGAATGATTTGATTATAAACATAGTGGAAAATGTAGGCACACATACATACTACACTGCAAGAAACAAAGTTCAAACATTTTTATTCTTTGCATCTAAATATAAGCTTTTTCAATGCTAAAATTAGGTTTATTGTGGTGCGAATGTCAAAGCAGGGCACCGTTTGAGCGCAATTCTATTTTTATTGCGCATTTCGCTAGAATACAATGACGCAAAACTGTTAGCGGTGGGTAATGCATACACAATTATGTACACGCATGCACATGTATAGATCGCCAAACAGCTGGGCTCATGTGAATGTGTTCGTGCGCTGCCGCGGCCGTACAGCTGTGCGGCGTCTATCTTTCCCGGAGCCAAAAGGCCGGCCAATCTCAGTCGCTTCCAAACAGTCGCATCGTAGAGGCCAGCCCAGCATTATTGGATCCAGCAGTAGTCCGCTCTTTAACCTCATAGAATTTAACACTTCCCAGGAAAAATAATTTCGTTTACAAAATTCACAGACACACATATAAATTATGGAAGTACAAATAGGCTGGCAAAAAATGCTCAAGATGGGTGCCAAGTGAGTACAAGAGAGAGAGAGCACAGGAGTTCAGTCCACAAGTCCGTTGCGATGGTGAGGGTCGAGGGGAAGACTTTGCACCTCGCGCGACCTGCACCCGACTGGGGCGATGTGGGGGCTATCATTCAGCTTCCTTATCGCTTACAATACACCTTTGTCATCGTGTCAGTCGCCGTCTAATCACTAATCACAGTCCTCTCTCTCTCTCTCTCATCACCCCTCCTCGCAGGCTCGTTGGGCACAAATTCCAGCAGTATCGTCTGGCCACCAACAACACCATCGTGCTGGACACGGAAAATGGCCGGGTGATGGGTCTGCAGCGCAAGACCCTTTACGACGAGGAGCTGTACTATGCCTTCGAGGGCATCCCGTACGCCAAGCCACCCCTTGGAGATCTCCGATTCCGTGCCCCAGAGCCGGCAGAGCCCTGGAAGGGTGTGCTAAACTGCACCACCTATAGATCGAAGCCCATGCAGCGGAACATGGTGATGGGCATAATCGAGGGATCCGAGGATTGCCTTCATTTGAATGTGTACGCAAAGACGCTTAAGTCGGAGCAGCCACTGCCCGTCATCGTGTGGATCTATGGTGGTGGTTTTCAGAAGGGCGAAGCCTCCAGAGATATCTATAGTCCCGACTACTTCATGAAGCAGAACGTGGTCTTTGTCTGCATCAATTACAGACTGGGCGCATTGGGTAAACTGTCGAAAGAAATCCCTTTCCGTAGTCCCTTCAAGGATCTTTTCTCCTTTTCAGGTTTTCTTAGCCTCAAGGATCCCCAACTGGATGTGCCCGGCAATGCAGGACTCAAGGATCAGGTGATGGCACTGCGCTGGATCAGCGACAACATTGCCCACTTCAATGGCGACCCCAACAACATCACGCTGATGGGCGAGAGTGCCGGTGCCGCCTCCACGCACATCATGATGACCACCGAACAGACGCGTGGCCTCTTCCACAAGGCCATCCTGCAGTCGGGCTGTGCGCTGAGTGAATGGGTGGAGAGTCCCGATCGTCAGTGGGCCTTCCGGCTGGCCCAACAGATGGGCTACAAGGGCGGCGAAAAGGATGCGGAGGTGCTGAAATTTCTCAACACAGTCTCAGTCCGGCGGATAGCAAGCACTGACCAGGACGTCATTACCAGGGAGGAGGTACGCAACTTTTTGCTGTTCGCCTTTGGGCCAGTGGTGGAGCCGTACGAGACGTCGCATTGTGTGGTACCCATCAGACACAAGGACATGCTTCCCCATGCCTGGGGCAACGAGATTCCCGTCATTGTGGGAGGCAACTCTTTCGAGGGCCTCTTCTCGTATCAGCTCCTCCGCGGCGATCCCTGGGCACAGAGCAATTTCCACAACATCCTGCCGCGGGAGGTGAGCGAGGCGGCCACCGACGAGGAGCGCGATGAACTGGTGCGTCGCCTCAAGAAGGTCTACTTCGACGATGAGGAGCGCGAGAAGATGGGATTCTTTGAGGCGCTCAATATCTTCTCGCATCGCCAGATATGGCACGATCTGCATCGCCTGGTCATGTCCCGCCTGGCCTACGCCCCCACACAGGCCACATATCTGTACCGCTTTGACTTTGATTCGCCGCACTTCAATCAGTTCCGTCGTTTGGTCTGTGGCGATCACATTCGTGGCGTGGCCCACGCCGATGAGCTCTCCTACATGTTCTACAACATCATAGCCCCCAAAATAAGCAAATCCTCCCCGGAATATCACACCATTGAGCGTATGGTGGGAATGTGGACAGCCTTCGCAGCCAGCGGAGACCCCAATTGCCCGGCCATTGCCCCAGCCAAATGGCTGCCCATTCAACGGACCGACAACGGTGTGGAGTTTTGCTTCAACATAAGCCAAAAGCTGGAAATGATTGAGCTTCCCGAGGCAGGCACACTGGCCGTGTGGGACAGCTTCTATGCCAGAGAGGCGCTCTATTAGGTTTACTATTTGTTTTTAGGGTGTATTTTATTAGGTGTACTTCCTGTAGTCCCAAAGATTGTTGCCAAAATGTTCAATGTACAAAAAGTTTTGTATTTCGCTTGTAAATTAGACATAAAAGTGTAAATTTCAAGAAAATTCATAGATTTTCCATTTAAGAATAATATAATAATATAAATAGAAATATTATAGAAGCACCCAGTCGCATTCCAGTCGAATTTAAGTGTACAAAGGTTAATTTCCCTAGGTAGAATTTTCCCCCTGTAACACTTCCCCACTATCTGGCCTATGAAACATTTATCGCTGGGTGTTTTAATTAATTCACATTGGTTTTGTTTAATTACCAAAATTCAGCTATACGAGACATTCTAGACATTTCCTAACACAGGGGCCAGAGGCCAGACGAGAGTAATAATTCCAGGGACCCCACCAGACAATCCGTCAGACAAGTGTCAAGTTTAAGGCTAAATACTTGATGGAAAACTAGTTGTTGAAAGCCGTAAGCCCCCGGGAATTCGAAGTGCAATTCAGGCAAACCAGTTCTGGGACTAGGCCAACTACAGTGGGACCCGTAACGAGATGTCTAATTTCGAATTCATTGTTTAAAGAGTTTTCCCTTAATAGTTAAGCAGACTCCACTGTACAAGTTACATGTATTATATTCAATGTACATATGTATTACTATCCATTAAAATCAACAGAGATACGTCGCCACACCTCTTCCAGAACTACTTATTAAATTTGATTATTATTTTGCTTATCGTAAAGTCGATCCCACATACGCAGCTGCTTCGCTTCGGGCAGTTCAATGAACTCCAAGCGGTGTCCAATGTTGAGGCACATCTGCGGACCATTTGTGTCCAGGGCATCCCACAGCACAGGGGAGATCTGTTTGCAATTGGGATTATCATTCGCGGCAAAGGCGGTCCACATGCCAATCATCCGTTCAATGGTGCGATATTCCATCGAGGACTTGTCCAGCTTGGTGGCCAGCAGCAGGTAGAACAGGTAGGAGATATCATCGCCATGACTGACGCCGCGCACATGGCGTCCACACATCACCGTGCGGAAGTGATTGAAGTGCGGAGAATCAAAGTCAAAGCGGTACAGGTAGGTTGGCGTGTTGGGGGCCAGTGCCAGGCGGGAGAGCACCGTGCGATGGACGCCGTGCCAGAAGTGTTTGATGGACAGCAGATGCAGACACTCGTTGAACTCCATGCGTCCTCGCGTGGCATCATCGAAATTCGAAATCTTAAATTCTCTTATCAAATCCTTGAGCTCTGCGGGTGTGACCTGGTTGCGGACTACCCTGGGTATCAGCGCCTCAAAGGCGCTGAGCATGTAATCCGCGTCCTGCATGGTGGACTGGTAGGAGAACAGACCCTCAAAGGAGTTGCCGCCAATGATCAGAGGCAGATCATTGCCCCAGGCATCGGCCAGCATTTCGGAATGCGGTTTGGGCATCACACAATCGCTGGTCACATATGGCTCCACCACGGGCGTAAAGGAAAACAAAACATAGTTGCGCTTTTCCTCTTCCGTAATCAGAGCGATGCAATGCGTCGCCAAGTCCGCGGCTGAGGCGCGTTGCAGGTACCGAAAAACCTCCTTTTCGTTCTCACTGCCGGCATAACCAATGGAGCAGGCAAGTCGGTAGGCCCAATTTCCACGTGGATCGCTGGCCCACTCGCTGTACATGGAACCCGACTGCATGATGGCCTTGTGGAAGAGTCCGCGCGTCTGCTCCGTGGTCATCATCATGTGGGTGGAGGCGGCCCCGGCACTCTCGCCCATCAGCGTGATGTTATTTGCATCGCCATTGAACTGCGAAATGTTTTCTCGCACCCAGCGCAGGGCCATCACCTGATCCTTGAGTCCCGCATTGCCGGGTACATCCAAATCGCGATCGGCTAGGCTCAGGAAACCTAAAAATATAGATTTTATTAGTAAATATAAACAGTTCTTGATCAAGGCGCCGCCAACTCGTTGAAATTAATTGAGAGTAAATAAATGGCAAGCCGTTTTAATGATTATTAAAGCGTTTGTGGCGCAATATAAATCATTAATTGCTTTAGGGACTTTCCTCCTTGATTGAGAAAGTGTCTGTAATATGCAATTAAAGTGTATAGCCTGGGAAACCTTCTTGTTTGCAATTAAGTTGGCATGGCTCATGGTATGCAATTAATTAGAGGGTGGGCCCGTACATGACGAGACAATGAATCTCTGTGACGTCACAAAGACTGCAGTGGCTGCAGAACTCAACAGAAGGACAGTTATGCATTTATTTTATGCTGTTTTCAGTTCAAAAGCTAATTTAAATTAGGAAAATAAACTATGCCCTGGGGTTGTGCCAATGTCACACACTTGTTGAAACAAATTAAATAAAATAAATATTTATTTTTACACCACACCCGAGCAAATCAAGTGAGGTTGGCAGCACTGTATTGTGCGTTAGATTGGCAGACCTCGTGGCATTAAAAATCAACAATTAATTTAATTATTCGCTACTTTAACTCACCTAAAGCACCCACTCGGTAGTTAAACGTGACCAGGATCACATCCTGCTTCATAAAATAGTCAGGACTGTAGAAATCCCTGGAGGCTTCGCCTATCTGGAAGCCACCGCCATAAATCCATACCAAGACCGGCAGCGGCCGCTCGGTGTCCAACTTCTTGGCATAAACATTCAAATACAGGCAATCCTCGGAACCCTCGACGATGCTCAGCACGAAATGCTTCTGCATGGGCTTGGCCCGAGGGTAAGTGCAGTCGCGAATGCCCTGCCACGGTTGAGCAGGCTGTGGCGCTCGGAAACGCAGTTCCCGCACCGGGGGCTGGGCAAAGGGTATGCCCTCGAAAGCATAGTACAGCTCCTCGTCGTAGAGCGTCTTCCGACGGAGACCCTTCAACTGGCCGTTCCTGGTGCTGATGACCTTCGTCTGTTTGGTGGCCAGGCGGTATTGTACGATCTTGTGGCCCACCAGCCTATGTAGGGTTAACAGCACAGAGAGAGAGAGAGAAAGAGAGAATTGATTTTTATTAATGAGTGTTTTTTGTGTGCTTATCTTATCGCTCCAGAGGGGATTTTGCCGGTTCCACATATTCGGAAATCCACTCGAAGCAATCAAGGCTATAATTGGTGGATTGACAGGAATGATGTACCCCGCGCAGCCCCCGAGGAAGCGAAGCTGATTGACCTACTTGGTGCCCATTTTTAGGAGATCGCCCACGCCCACTCGTATTTCCATATCTTGCGTGGGTTTTAGCTTCGTACTTATTTAGTTATTAATTAATTGTAATTTTAGGGTTTACACTTCCGACGCCGTACTTGCAATCAACGAGGAAATAATGAAAATACAGAACCAGACCGACCCGTCCCGTCCGATCTCAATCTATCAGTTCGACTGCGACTACACGTCTGAGTGTAGCTCAGAGTGCAGCCTCAATTCAGTTTGTGGGGTTTAATCACGCCCGAACGACGCTTATCGCGAATGTACAAGCAAAACAGATGGCGGCACTTGGTGGGGGGAGAATATTACGATTGATAAGACGCCACAACACACACAGAGAGAGCAAGAGAGAGGGAGAGAGAAAATATTGGTCTGTTCTGGAAGATAAGCAGCGCACTAGTACCAGCTGTTTCGTGTACACTTTGTAATTGCTTTTTAATGATCCCAGAGTAGTACAAAGTCGGTTTTTATCTTCCAGTGTCGGGCTGAAGCCCCCCCATTTACGATCGAGCAGCAGTCAAAGTTCAGGCATAAGGCTACTGAGATGCTATTTCAGTAATTTCATAATTGACACTCCGCTCAAAAGTGTATTATTATTACTTTAATGAACCGCTTGACATGCGGGGAAATCATCATAACATGCGAATGTTGAACGTTCCAAAGTGAAAGCACAGCGTGCGGCTAACATGAACTGACTGCAGGGCAGTGCACAGCAAAGCTTCAAATGCAATTCTGTCTAATTATATGTTTAAATGAAGGAAGAATCAGTACAGCTAGTACCGTATTTTGGTTTGTTTAGATTTTATTTGTGTTTAATCTACATGAAGATCATTGTGGTTATCATAAAAGAAATTGAAACGCATGCGAATGACCTTCAAACAGGTGCGTCAGCAACCTTTTGCGTAGCGCAAATTCTATGAAATATACAAAATTTAACATCGCCCCAATTTGATTATCGAAAGTCCTCAAACTTTCTGGCAATTATATTTGATTGTTGCTGATTTCTGAAGCTTTACCTTTTTTTGGGACAATTTTATATCAATAAAAAACGAAAAAAACTCGAGTAAACTTTTCCCAAGCGAAAGTTAAATGGAAAGCTATAACTTCTACAAGCACAAATTTCCCTGAATATATTAAAAAATTTTCCATATGCAATTATGATTTTGCTTCATAGGCATAACGGAAAAAAAGTTTATTTACGCATAAACGATTTTGATTAATTCCCCAACGAACGCGAGGGGAGGAAGGGCCGGTCCGCTTGGCTCAGCTAATTAAAAAATTGTCATAAATCCCCAAGAGTTTAACCCATTTACAGTCGACTGGTCTGTTGAGAAATGGCCAAAAAGCAAAGGATTCCCCCCGCCAGCCAGCCAGCTACTTAATTACACTTGCGCGCACTTTAATTTCCATTTAAAACAGAAAAAAAATGAAAAAGAAAATGTTAATTTTTGTTGCCTCCTTCTGCCTTTCCCTGAAAGAAGAAAAGTCAAGGCGAGCCGAAACATTGTAAATTATAGGCTTAAAAGAAAGGCAAGGCAAGGCTTCTCCTCCAGAGTTGGTTACATGGCAGAAGAAGCTTATTAAATTATACTCGACAGAGAGGAAGACCCCCTCCGTTTTCTTGGATGTGGTATGGGGTGTGGTCTTAAATTTCCAGCATTCCTAATCTCGATTTAAGCCAAGCAGCAGGCTGGCACCTCCTGTGCGGGGAGCATATCAAGTGAATTCAATGTCAAAAGGGTTAATTGAAAGTGCCAGGAAATTGGAGGAGTCACAAGAGATGAAGAACACGACAGGAGTAAACCGAGAGAGTGCTGGGGGAAGCCCTGAAAAATGAGGGTTTCTCCTGTCCCCAACATGACAGGGAATCTGCAGTAGTCATAAAAATCAAAGTCCATAAACCGGAGA